ACAAAACCGCTTCTCAAGAAAATGATGCATGCATCCAACATGCTAGACTGTACGAGGGAAATGGACAGGTATTATCATGCATAGATAATACACAGCGCTACATGAACCAGCTACTCCGGCTCCTGGTGCTGCCACTCCCCTCTCAAAGCACCAACATCAACCCCACAAGCCTCCGCCTTCTTAACAATAGTCCTAGCCTTATGGGCAACAGGGACATCAATCATCTTCCCATCAAGCGTCCAAGCGCCCCTCCCCGCCTTCGCAGCCTTCTCATCCGCAATAACAACCCGCATAGCCCACTCAGTCTCCAGCGCATCCGGCCCAAAGATCTGATCCACAACCTTCACCTGCGACGGATGAATACACTGTTTCCCATTGAATCCCAACCGGCGCCCATCTCGACACTCCTCCTGCAGCATAGCCGGCGGCGACCCATCCTCTTTCTCAGACTTGTACGCCGTACAGACGAGGTCAATCGTCGACGGCAGATCCGCCGCCCGCGCAGCAGTTGCTATCGCAGACCGCGCGAATAGGAATTCTGTCAGTGAGGGCGTGCGCGTAATGCTCAGGTCCAGGGCGAAGTCTTCAGCTGCGAACACCAGGCCTTGGAGCAAGGGCGAGGCAGCGCAGATCTGAGAGAGATTCGTCAGGGACTTGGCGGACTCGACTAGAGCCAGGAGTGAGATTGGGTTTCTTTCTGTTACTGATTGCTGGGATAGAGTGTGGGTAATGACGTCTGTGACGAATGTTAGGTCGGAGGCAGAGTTGACTTTGGGAATTACGATTGTTGTTAGGTTTGGTGATTGGAGCTGGGGCGGTTAGCCGTTGAAGGGAAGATGATTTACGTTAGTATTGACCGGAGTCCACTCACAACTTCGGTCAAATCACCCAATGCTAATCCGCTGTCTACGGAGTTGATTCGCACGGCGCGTTCCCGAATTCCTGGTGGCGCGGCTTGGTCGATTGCTCTCCGCACTAGCGAGCGCGCTTCTGCTTTCAGATGCGGAGTCACGCTGTCTTCTAGATCGTAGGTGACACAGTCGGCGGTAAGTGAGCGCGACTTGTCGAGGAAGCGTTGGGAGGAGCCGGGGACTATTAGGTGTTGCTTCTTAGCTAGGCGTTTTTTTTTCTTCTTTTCTTTTTGGAGCTCGAGGAGTGAAATGCGGGGAAGATGGGAAGGGAGCTTGAGCTTACCGTAGAGGAGGGAACGACGGATAGTATTTCGGGCTGCCATTATTTATGTGGTAATTTTTGGTGTGCATTCAATCGTACATCAGTATAGAGGTGTGGACTGTGTATTGTGTTTCCAAGGGAGTGGAGGTCCCTATGGAGTTGAGTTGATGGGGAAGAAGCCGACTCGGCTGTCCGTACAGCCGCTTTTGTAGTATGTTCCACGTGGGTTGGCAGAGTTGATTTCTTTTCGGTGATTCTTTTATTTGACTTGGAATTTATGAGGTTTTTTAGAAAATTTTCGTGTCATTCGTGCAGGAGTTTTGTTTAAATTAGAGATCTTGGCATGGAGATCAACATCATTCTGGGCGATATATATCTTTAGACGATTGCGTTTCTTTCTTGTCTAAACAAAAACTCCGAGCTGCACGTAGAATATGTTGCTAGAACACAGGCCTCGCGGTAGTGTAGAGATACCACCCTTTGCTCACCGATACTGATTGGATCCTAGAAGTGGTAGACTACGCTGAACAAATCCAGTTGGATATGACTATCAGAAAAGATAGGAAAGAAATGGCAGAGAAATATCACTGGCTTCCATTAATTTGGAATTGCAAGATTTTCTTGGAGAGTGACTACTGCAGGACGACTCATATACATCATGGGCCCATGGGAATGAATGTCTGCTATGGCTGTATGGAATCCATGTGTTATTCCCGAAAGTGCACCTATGAGATAGTCTGGTCTGATATTATAACAAGCTTGGAGTGAAAAGACGATCCTAAGTTCCACAGTCATCAACGATCTAGAAAAGGCCTACCAGTATAGTATGATCAAAGGAGACATCATTGCCATTTAAGAGAAACTCAGAATTCCACTCTGTACCGTTTCAACCGCTGGCAACGAGGAAATTGTGCAACTATTACTAAACAGCGGAAACCCCCCGGCATTCGATGCTCAGCGGGAACGCCCCCTACAGATTGCGTCCAGTCTAGGCCACTTGCGCATTGCACGACCCCTTCTCAAAACGAGTAAAACGATCGTCATAAACTCGACAGGAGAATTTCGACACGCCCCTCCAGGCAGCTTGTTATAGGATGCGCCGAAAGTGCTAAACTGCTGCTTCATCCCGGCGCTGATGCTTATCTCACCGCGGGAAGGTAGATATCTGCCTTATGTACTGCAGCTTTCAGCCTATGCATCTTTCCGCACACGTAGATAGATTTCCTTGATATTACAGCCGGCATCTTTCCGCACACGTAGATAGATTTCCTTGATAATACAGCCGGTCTCAATCTAGCGAGTCAGGAATTCGGCACCCTGGTACATGCGGCTTTGACTAGTGATAATTTCCAAGTTGTGCAGTTAGTTCGGGGATATGGGTGGGGGTAGATCGTTCTATTTAGGGTCAATGGGAACAATAGAAAAATCCTATGTACTTGACTGTAGGTTTGGGTTGGTCAGTCTTTTTGGCTTCCTAGGGCTTGGTGGCGGAATGGGGTCATTTGGATTCCATTTGAATCAAGTATGGGCCATAGACCTGAGGTCATTGTTAGATTAACCCCTTCAATCTTTCATCTTTTTGATATGAGCTAGCCCACCTCCCGAGGTCTGAGTTGGTACGGTCTAGATTTGGCACTTGAACCACCAGAGGAGTTCCATACAATTCATACTTCATACTCAGCCAGCTTGGCACTACGATATGACTTCTCTACCACTGTGGCCTCCTTGCGTGATTTTGCAGAGGTGTTGGATAGATCAAATTTGGCATCTTATCGGCTTAGCGCCACGACCCAAAGAGCTGCACGTGTGGTTGAGGTATCCACTTAGTGTGATCGTGTGGATGTTATTGGACTCTGATAGAAGGAGTATTCATCAGATTTATCTTATAGACTTTCTATATTAATCCTGAAATGGTAAGGTTCTGCAGGATATGCTAGATAGATGCTGGGTAGATGTGTAGCCCTTGGGCAAAGCAATCATTACACATCGTCAACAAATCCACTTCAGTCTATGCTTCTCCTTTAGCATTGATTATTCTGCCACAAGGAACCGCCTGCACCCGTGTTTCGACCACATAGGGAGCATCATCAGTCGACAACAGAATTAACTTGATTCAAATATACCCAATCCGTTGACCAAGAGGTCCTTTACATTCCGATAATATCATACCTCCACCTTGCAAAATATGGACCAAGGACAAGGAGGCCAAGGTGACCTCAACTGGCGCCTTAGCGCGCACCCGATCACGCTACTTGTCTTCTTGAGCATTCGGATCGGTTCGTACTTCCTTGCCCCGAGTAACAGCGGCAGCGATGATTTTGACTGACTTAATGATCAGGTGCGCTAATGATGTATCTATTTGGTGTACTCTTCATCGATAACTTGTACAGACCCTGTGCTGAACTACCTGCTTGCCAATCTGCGATGCTAACTTTCATCTAGCATCCTCGTATTCATTTTCACCCTTTTACTCCTCTCCGCGGATTTCTACTACCTCAAAAACATTGCGGGACGCCGGCTGGTCGGTCTACGTTGGTGGAACGAGGTCGACACCTCGACCGGCGACTCGCAGTGGGTCTTTGAATCATCCGATCCCAACATTCGCACTGTGACGGCCACCGACAAGCGGTTCTTCTGGCTGAGCTTGTATATCACACCAGCTTTGTGGGTAGGCCTTGCGATACTGGCAATTGTGAGACTTGTCGGTGTCATTTGGCTTAGTCTAATTGGTAAGTTACTCGCAAGATACCCTTGATATACGTCGGCGCTGGGTATTGACTTAGATTTAGTTATTGCACTCATTCTGACTATCACGAATACCGTGGCATTTTCTCGCTGTGACAAGTTTGGCCAGGCCTCCACATATGCCAACTCGGCTCTGGGCGGTGGTATTGTGAACAATATCGCTAGCGGCCTGCTGGGCAGGCTATTCCGATAATGGTAGGCAGGTTGATTTCTGTCTTGCAGTTAGCGGCCATCTCTTATCGGTCTTTCTGCATGTGCTATGCATTTCTGGCAGAATATATGACCAAATCCTATTCAAATGCATGCAATTTCTTTTCAAATGTGGAGTCTCATTTGTAGCTCTAATGTGATTAAGCACCTCGTTTAGTGTAAGGTGCTCTAGAGATAGAGCCGTTGCCTGAGTCAGGTCGACACATCGCTCCTTCCTCAAACAGGCAGTTTTCGTCTGCCGATGGTTGTTTGTTTTCCATCGTCCCCTCTTCCTCCTCTTTTTTCCCCCTTCCCTCTGCCTTCACTCGTCGTCAACAAACATCCTTTGCGTCTGCCGTGCATCGAAAATCACATTGGTAAGTGCCATTCTTGGCGTTGCGCTTGCACCGTCTCTCTCCACGATCTTAGAAGAGCGATCCATGTAAAGAGATGGTGTTCCAATTCTCCTTGGCAACTTTCCCGATGCCTCGTGCCTCGTGCCTCCCTGCCCCCTCCCCGGCCCAATCCATTTATGATTATCCCGCTCTAGTTTTTCAGCCTAGCAAAGAATATGATTCTTTCACAACTACAAGACCATTTCGGGTTATATGGCTAACGCGCGTGATGACCCAAGCTGACCACAATGGAGACAAGTATTCATGGAGCCCGAGATGATGGTTTCACCTGCGGAAAGTGAGTTCTTCCCTCAAATCCCTAGCTTTCACAATGTCCGCCCAACAACCTCAGTCACTCACACACTTAAGATGCGGTGGATCTGGCCACAGGACTCGCCAGTGCCCGAATGGCTTGGCTCCTCTGAGACAGAGAGACAACAATGCAGGGTAAGTTGGTCCCGCACTTTCTATGTCACAATGTGGCAGTTCGTCTAACCAATGCTCAAATATAGACATGGAAGCGATGCCTATGGCAAATACGGTAGTGACAATGGTGGAAGATATGGTGAAAACGCTGGTGGGGGCAACAGCGCTTACTACAACCGCGGCCAGGAAGGGTAAGTCGTCGACCTCTAAATGCTTGGTCAATTGTGCTGATATAATGCAGCCATAGCAAAACCGAGTGTACCGTGCCCCGCAAGATGGGCGCATGCTTCAACTGTGGCCAAGAAGGGTGGGTCCTGACCGAATACCTTTTGTGTTACGTTGTTAATTGTTTTCTTGGAACAGTCACTCCAAGGCCGAGTGCCCTAACCTGCGTGTGTTCAAGGGCACCTGCCGTATTTGCGAAAAGGAAGGTCACCCAGCTGTTGATTGTCCCGAGAGACCCCCCGATGTTTGCAAGAACTGCCAGGCTCAAGGCCACAAGACGATGGAATGCAAGGAGAATCGCAAGTTCGATCTCAATCTTGTTGCCGACATGCTTCCCCACGAAGCTTGGGCTGCAATGAAGAAAGCCAGCGATGAAAGGGATCTTGATGATTTCCGCGAGGTACTAGGAATTCATATGTACCTTGAGAGTTTTGACCTTTCGCTGACCTAGCTCCAGGCACTCAAAATCTACTCCAAGGCAGTTCCCCACGCCACTTGGGGTGACATCGAGAGAAAAATGCGAGAAGACAAGTTCAACATCTACATAATTGCTATGGTAATCAATCATTGTCGCTTTGATGCTTAGGGATGAAATACTCATGAATGAATTATGACTACAGGAGGCTGAAGTTGATGATGTCATGAGCCTGATCGATCTCCAGGGAGTACTTGATCGTAAATTCGTGATTGGGTTCTTTTTTAGCCCTAAGGCGTCGCGTGGTCACCTTCGAGACCGTTGGCCTGCGGATGCCGAGGAGAACGTCCAACGCATGAACAACGCTGGTATTCCCTATGAGCGCAAGGTGCCTAAGTGTCTGAACTGTGGAGGTAGGTGTTTGCTTTGATCACCAATTTCTCAGGACGTTACTAATCCTGGTTTTAGGGTTGGGCCATATCTCACGCAGTTGCAAGGAGGAGCGCGCCGACGGCAACGAGCGTGTGGAAATCAAGTGCTCAAACTGTGATGGGCTTGGACATCGTGTGCGTGATTGCAGAGAGCAGCGCAAGAACAAGCATGGTTGCCGTAACTGCGGGTATGTGGCTTTGAGACCAAAAAAAAACGTAGATAAGGCTGACTTTTATGAAGATCTGTGGAGCACGTTGCTGTTGACTGCCCCGAGCCTCCATCTGCGTCTAATGTTGAATGCCGGAAGTGCAACGAGAGTATCACAAGACCATGACCAAGATGCTTCGTAAATTTCGTGATGGCTAACGTCTATATTTCAGCTGGTCATTTTGCCAAAGATTGCCCCAACGGTGCTGATCGTGGCCCTCGCACCTGCCGCAATTGTGGGTATGTCGAAATATTACAATCGCAGGCCTGGGATTGTAGCTTGTTCTAACTTAAATGCAGATCCGAAGATCACATTGCTCGCGACTGTGATCAGCCTCGTGACGTTTCGACCGTTACCTGCCATAACTGCGAAAAGAGTAAGCGTGATTCATCCCCTGGATAATGTCTTGTCCTGAGACTATTGTGTACTGCGAAATAGAACTGACAACTACTGATTTAGCTGGACACTACTCTCGAGATTGCGATCGGCCGAAAGACTGGTCGAAGGTGCAATGCAAAAACTGTGGAGAGAGTGGGTTGATCACACACGCGTGCTTAATACTCGAGCTAGGTCGCTAACAGCCATTTTAGTGGGCCACACCGTCGTCCGTTGCCGCCAGCCGTCCAAGGACGAAAAACCTCAAGACGAAACTGCGTTCTCTCCCGGCTCCCCCATGCGCGAAGAACCCGATCTGCTGGGCCCAGAGGCCAGCGAGGATCCGTTCGAATTCAAGCGCCATGATGACAATAATGACCTGTGGTAAACGCCACAATTCAATGCCAGAATGGGGCGAATGGGGAGGTCTTGATGCCGCTGCAATTTGGCATCCCTTCTCCCCCGCTATGTTGTGCTCTGATTAAGTGACCCTGCCGCTTTTCGATTTATTCTAAAAAGCCAAAAAAAAAACAACCTTTCCATGTGTTTTGGCGTTAGCCAGTGATTTCACCCAGGAGTTTTACGATGAATGCTGACCGGCCGCGGGTCTCCAAAGGAGGAAATGTGTTCAGACCTTTCATGCTCTGTCGAGCTCGATTGATTTTGACGCGCCTCCGGATGAGCTTGAGGATGGAGGGTCTGGGCAGGAGGGCTCTGATCTGGGGTGATAATCTAACGACCATCGTTCTAGCTGGCAAGATCAACTTCAAAGAAACGTCCATTTTAGTGCGTTCTTCTTGGCTCAATGTAGACTGCTCGAGTAAGTTCCTATGAAGTCGAACAGGTTGTAATTGTAGGATAGAAGTAATTGGATGACAGTCTGGACCCTCAAGTCAGTATTGCTCCGCTCGACTTGATCGGATTTCGCCAGTTCGGCTCTAGCCTGATCAAAGCGTCCAGACGCCGGTTCACGACCACTTGAAGGCTGGCCGATCCTATGATTCTATCATCCGACCATGCAAAAGTGAACTACCACATTGTCGATTATTGACCAATAATCCTAGTTGGTCATCGTTGACACTAGTAGTTGCTCGGAGACGCCAAGAGTTGGTATTTACTGTCATTACCGGGCTGATGTACGATGGGGGCTCGATCTACTTCGATTGGCAAGTTATGGTGGGCTTCTCTTTGTTGCATTGAATGAGGGATATTCTAATTTTCACTCTGTTTCCTTAACCTGGCATTTGAAGCGATGGTCTACAGAGTTAGGTAGCATCGTGTAAATGCTCGACAGAGTTGCAGTTCAACGTAATAAATCCGATTCGGGCAACCCGTACTCGGCCTGTGCCGAACAGCACATGCAGGTTTTTGTGTAAGAACGGTCAAGAATAGTTGAGAACAAGAAGAATGCTAAGACCGCTAGGGGCAGTAAAAAGCAGTAAGAGCAGTGAGAGCATTAAGAAGCCCAAATGAAACCCGCAGTGCGAAACAAACCTCTTTTGGACCTGTATAGACTTGATGATGTCATCAGTCTGGCTTCGGCTCTAGCAAGTCGGGCCCTGATTCCAATCCGCTTATACCGAAATCTTGGTTCGTAAGCCCCTTGTCATCCCTGCCAATGCTTCTCGAAGGTAACGTGAATTAATGAGCAAATCACAAGAGCGCAAGGTAGAGAGCCGCACTTGTGCGTGGTCCATGTCCCAAAGTCGACATCTGTCATATTTCCCTTGGGCGAAGATCAGCGGAGAAAAAAAACGGGGGAAGTCCGGGGGAACTCCAGGTTTTCGTCAAATATGTTGTTACAACTCCAATTCATCCCCAACACACAAAAGTACCTTGAACCACGCGAGATCCTGTGAACCGTGCAGCTGTCATACACTCCATATCATCGACGGAAACAGACTTGGAAAAGTGGAGAACTACCCGGGGGAGTCCATGAGCCTTTCATGGGAACTTCATGGGTGCTGATCTGATGCCAACGAATGTTACCGTACTGAGACAATACATGTTGTCACCAATACCGGAGGTCACCAATACCGGAGGGGAATCGACTTGGCCATGCGAGGGGGTCTCGCATGGCCAACTGCACGCACCTCTTTGGACGCCGATTTGCTCGGCGGATCTCGTGAAAACTTGGATACCGATGATCACCCAAAAGCCTCGGCCGTAAAGACGGGGTACAGTGGCTTTCCCCGGTCAGGTCATGGTATAGGCATCACCAATGCAACCTTGCTACTACTTTTAATTGGCTTAGATCTTGCTTTTTCTGGTTTGCGATTTGTGCTCCAAAAAACATGGTGTAAGATGTGGATCCTCCATTTTTATTTGATTTGGAGGTTCATAAAACTGGCCGACTTCCTCGGACCTGGCTGTTCCGTTGTTGGATCTTTTCTCTACTTAGCGGCGGTCTGTTCATTTCAAATCCATTCCTAGTCCCGGCGAAGAGTCGGACTACCTTTTGCTGGTAGGGCTTGACAATCTAAAAGCCTGTCCTCTTTCGGCAGCCTGCAACCTAAACACTCTACCCGCCACCATGAAGCCATTCTTCGGCCTTCGGGGCACGAGTCTGAATATCATGATCGGTGTTATTGCCGGTCTTGATTTCTTGTATGTGTTGGTCTTTGCATATTTACTAGCGAAATAAGCACTAACGTGGAATTGCACAGATTATTTGGATATGATCAGTAGGTTGTTGCCAGCTACACCTGAGAAGTCCGGTCTATTTCTTGTTCCTGACACTCACTAGAGGAGTTATGGGAGGTCTATTGACATTGAACTCATTTATTACGGTCTTCCCCGAGATTGACACCACCAATTCGAAATCATCGACGGGTAACAATGCAACTACACAGGGTATGCAACTCCCTGGCAACCTTTGATTCGTTCCTTTCCTAATTAAAGCAGGAATTACTATCGCTTCTTACAACTTGGGCTGTTTCTTCGGCGCAATCTTCTGTATTTGGATTGGAAACTACCTTGGTCGTCGTAAGACGATCTTCACCGGCTCGATCATCATGGTAATCGGGGCTACACTACAGGCCAGTGCTTACTCCTTGCCGCACTTTATTGTTGGCCGTATCGTCACTGGTATCGGCAACGGCATGAACACCTCTACTGTCCCTACATGGCAATCTGGTAAGCATCTGGATGCATTGAAATGGGGGCACGATACTGATGTTGTTTAGAATGCTCCAAGTCCCACCACCGGGGAAAACTCGTCATGCTCGAGGGTTCCTTGATTGCAGCTGGAATTACCATCAGTTACTGGCTTGATCTTGGATTCTCCTTCCTTGACCCTAGCTCGGTTGCATGGCGTTTCCCAATTGCCTTCCAGAACGTCTTCGCACTTATCATCTTAGTTTTCGTGCTACCGCTCCCTGAATCACCTCGATGGTTGATCCTCAAGGGCCGCGAAGAGGAGGCTCTGGATGTTCTTGCCGCGATCCTAGACTTAGATGAGAGCGATCCCTATGTTCACTCGGAATTCTCCGCTATCAAGGATGCCGTCCTGGCTGCCTCGAGTGTCAGCTTCCGTGACTTGCTCACTATGGATGAGAACCGTCATTTTCACCGTGTTGTACTCGCCTACGTCAACCAGATGTTCCAACAAATCTCGGGTATCAACCTGATTACTTACTACGCTGCCTTCATTTATGAGAACTCTCTTGGTATGAATGGCCTGACATCGCGCATTCTAGCTGCCTGTAACGGCACTGAATATTTCTTGGCGTCTTTAATCCCTATTGTCATTATTGAAAAAGTGGGCCGACGAGTTCTAATGTTGATCGGTGCTGCTGGTATGTCGATTTCCATGGCCGTCTTGGCCATCACCACTAGTTTTGAGGGCGAGACCAAGCCTGGCATTGCCGCTGCCGTGTTTTTGTTTGTCTTCAACACATTCTTTGCCTTGGGCTGGCTGGGAATGACCTGGCTATATCCCGCTGAGATTGTAAGGCTTTCGAGGATTCTTCTTTTTTTTTTTTTTTTTGGCACCAAACCACCTCTAACGATGCAATAGGTGCCTCTAAGAATCCGTGCTCCTGCCAACGCACTCGCAACATCGGGCAACTGGATCTTCAATTTCATGGTTGTCATGGTAACACCTGTTGCGTTCGACACTATCAAGTACAAGACGTATATTATCTTTGCCGTCATGTGAGTGTATACCTCACCAAAGACCTTTGGTGCACGACTAACTCAGTCTCCACCAGCAATGCATTCATCTTCCCCGTTGTTTATTTCTTCTACCCTGAGACAGCCTATCGATCCCTGGAGGAGATGGACACAATCTTCCACAAGACATCCAGCGTCTTCACTGTCGTATCGGTCGCCCGCAACGAGCCCCATCGCTATGGTAAGAAGGGCGAGCTTCTCATCAACTACGAGGACACCGAGGAGCACCTGCACCGCGCTAGCTATGTCTCAGAGAAGAACAAGCTGCCTAGTGAGATGGACGATCTGGCGACTGGAAAGGGTACCCATGTTGAGCACCGCAAGGATAGCTCATCTGATCGTAGTCAAGCCCCCTGAGAAGGCATATTCATCTTTTACTTAATTTCAAATAATTTCTAGTCTCTAATGTCAGCGTGCAGGGTCGGGAGATGTTCTTGAATATCGGGCTTAGCGATCCTCGTGACACCGTTCTTCTCCATTTGGTTAGACTCGAGTTTTTGTCGAGAGGAGTATTAGCCCTGCCCATCCTGTTGAACTAGCAAATCAGATTGATGTGTTCGGTTTTGGGAACCCCCTGGTCCCCCCGGGGACAGTTCGAACTTCAATAGGTCTCTCCAATATTGGAGAGGGTCGATCTCGTAAAGTGAACATTTTGCCCCGAAACGGAAGAGGAGTTCTCTTAAGTGTATGGAGTACTTGGGACTTGGTACATATTTTCTCTTAATCTAAGTCGGTGGACATACCTCACCCTGTCACACATAGAGCCATTAGAAGCTTCGTTGGTGTGGCTACTGTAGAGACCATAGAATATACATATTCGTCTCTTGGAAGGTGTCTAGACGCTTCCTGGTCATCTTGTTGCCGATTTTTGTGGTTTTTGCTATCTCCGACATTACTTGTATGGCTAGGCATGAAACATAGAATTACACATGATCACAGTACACGATCAATCTCTGTAGTAAAGCAATTTGTGCCTGAGCCACCCCCCAGGCTCAAGGAAAGTTGGTATCCCCGGGCCCAACCGTCTTTCTCGGGTCTTTCATGGTGGGTAGATCCGGCTTGTCTTTGATCCTCTCATTCTTTCCCAAATCGTCCTTTGGGGCTTCTTTTTTGGGGGGGTTCTTTCCTGAAACTTCCTTGATGGGTCGAGCCTGCTGTTTAGCGACGTTCTCATTCTTTCCCTGCAGAAGAACTTGGATGTTCCTGGGTGGTATCCTTTTGTTTGCCAAGCAGCAATTCTCCTAGAGATAGTCTTCCTCATCGGTTTCCGAGCTTGGGTCATTCGAGTCCAGCACAGTGCGTATACCACGGAGACTTTATAGGAGCTAACTGATAGCTGACAGCGGACAGCGGACAGCGGATAGCGGACAGCGGATAGTTTTGTAAAGGACCAGACCCAAAGTAGTATTCATTTCTAAAAGTACAACGGTTGCTAAAATGAGCCAAGATCCACAAGAAGTAAGGATAATCTTGGAAGGAAAAAAAACCCCCCTCCATTTTAAGGTTATCTTCGGTGAAGAACTCAGGTTGGGGACAACTCAACCTCAACCTCCAATCTTCGTCCCAACCTCAACGGGGATCGTTCAATCTCGGATGTTTGAGCTGATGAGTCATCGATCCTTTACACATCTTGGGGACGTGAGCTATTGGGTTGTGGTTTTTATGTCCGCCAAGAGCCATACCCCCCCTCTTCTTCTTTCTTTTTTTTTAAAAATCAGATCCGATCACTGATTCCTTTTTTCTTTGGAGATTCGTATGTGCATTTCTTTCCAACTGCCAGGAATGAAAAAGAGCTCTTTCGATGGCAATTGGAATCTTTCAAATGAATTCTACTGACTAAGAATGTACAGCTCCATCCGGTTGATATCCCCAGCTTAAGTCTTTTTTAGTTGACACGGCTTTTGCTAGCGCTTTGGTACAATCAGCGGAACTATTGGTCCAGAGACTGGCTAAAAAAAATTTAGTTCATACACAGATAATAATAATCAAGCGACAAAGATGTTCACCGAACATCAACATGCACCAGTCAGGGTTGACAAGCAACCGGTGGTGGAGGAAATCCCCGAGCAGCCAGAAGCGTCGCAAAGCCAGGCATCCTCAGACGACGAGTCCGTGGACTACAGCGTAGCTAACATCGAACGAATCTACCGGTAAAAATGCACCTCGGAGAAAGCAATTCATATCAGAATCTCATCCTCAACAGAAAATTGGACCGTCGCATCATCTCCGCATTCTGGATCCTCTACTTCCTCTGTTCAGCCATTCGGTCAAATGTAGGCCTGGCACAGACAATGAATGCCGACTCCGGTCACGACCTTGCAAGCGTGCTCAACCTATCCCGGCACCAGATCTCAACCGGTCTTGCCCTCTTCTACGTCTGCTACGTGATCTTCGACCTCCCCTCAAACCTAATCATGACCCGCCTAAGCCCTCACGTCTGGATGAGCCGCATTGTGGTCAGCGTAGGCCTAATCGGAAGTTGTCTCGCGGCCATGAAGGCGGCATGGAGCTTCTAGTACGTTGAACACCCCCCCACCAAACTCTTATTCTAGATCCCATCTGCCCACACCCACATCTAACAAGCCCCAGCCTCCTCCGCCTCCTCCTGGGGATCGTCACAGCAGGCATGTGGCCGGGCATGACATACTATCTAACCCTATTCTACCCCCCGTCACGCATCGGCAAACGGATTGGACAATACTTCACAGCCTCGCAGGTCTCCGCCGCCGTAGTCGGGCTCGTCTCCGCCGGTTTCCAAAAAATGGACGGTACCCAAGGCCTCGTCGGCTTCCAGTGGATGTTCCTCATCTACGGTGTCATCACCGTCGCCCTAGGCTTCGCCCTCCTATGGTGGCTCCCAGATCGACCCACGCCGCCCGGTGAGCCCGCGCCCCAACGGTCCTGGGTGATGCGCTGGGTACCGACCACCGCACCCGCGCTGAAGGGTGCCGACGCCGCCGTGCACTATCACGATCTACAGCGAGTGTATCACTCATCCGCGTGGACGCTGCGGGATCTGCTCGCGGTGTTCATGGATTGGAGACTTTATCCGCTCCTGGTGATGTACTTTGGTGTTGTGGGTGTTGGCATTGGCGTGCAGTTGTACGCGAACGTGATTATCAAGGCTATTGACCCAACTTTGAGTGATATTTCATTGAGTCTGTTGACGGCTCCGATTTGGATTGTATGTGGTTTTTTCATTTTTTCCTTTTTTTCCTTTTTTTTCCTTTCCCCCCCCCTTGTCTTTTTGAGGGTCTCTTTCACTAGATCCACCCGCTAACACATCCCCACTACGGAGCATAGATGGACCTTATCGCCATCCTTCTCGTAACCCCGCTCTCAGACCGCTTCCACCGCCACCGCGCAATCTTCTTCTCAATCCCCGTCCTTCTCCAGATCCTCGGCCTCCTCCTAACAAGCTATGCGGGAACCGACGCAAATCCCTGGCCGCGGTATGGCGGACTTCTAATCGTTGGATTCGGGCTCGGCCCCACAGTCCCGATCACGATGACCTGGACGACGGAGGTATTCCAGCCCCGACACGGCGAGCTCGGCGTCGCTGCTGCGTCGGCTGTTGTCTCCGGCCTCGGTAATCTGGGCAGTATCCTCACGACGTATGCGCTCTATTCCGGCTGGAAGAGCGATTACGAGGCTCCCGGGCGTGAGAAGTATAGGAAGAGTAACCTCGTCATGATTGGTATTCTGGCGGCGAGTATTCTCTCGGCCGCGCTCATGGAGGTTATGTTACGCTTTGTTGATGGGAGGTATCGTGGGGATAGGGATGATGGGGCGGTTGATGGGGCTGCGAGGCGGGAGGTGCGTCAGCGTGGGTTCCATGGTATTGGGGCTGCTTTTACGCGTTGGTTGAGGCTGGGAAGGTGATGTCTGAGTAGAGATGTGTATGGGGGTGGAGGTGGGCCCTCGTACAACGGGAAAAGGGTTGCCATGTTGCTTCAATGTTGTATGTGAGGCTGTCATACACTCCCTGCTCTATAAAAAGAGAAGAGCACTTCCATTGGATGTTGGAATGTGATACTAGATTGAGTTCCAGATCCTCCCAAGTAGCACGAAGACAATCTGACGAGATCCTCCGATCTAGGGAAGCTCGATGGAACGTTGAGAAAAAGGTATAAGAAGCTCAATCTCAATTGTCACGCACAATGCTGGTGTTGGTTCAGACACTAAAATTACTCTAGAGGTGAGGGTCAGTGCAAATGTTCAACTTGGTATTAATTGTCGATTCTCCAGAGGAACGATATCAGTATGATATCTCTCGATAAACGATGGTGTGGTTTTCCCATCCATGAATATTCTATGCTATTGTACGTGTCACATTACCCTGTGAAGGGTAGTCGAGAGAAACAGAAAAAAAAAGGAAAAGATAAGTGCGGCTGGTGCAACGAGGGAGGGCCAGCAGGAACGCAATAAGCGGACACTGGAATCGGGAGAAAGAAAAAGGATAGAACACGACAAGAGAGACAGGAAGAGGAAGAGAGAAAAGGCAGATCACAAAACATCTATGGGGGCTCCCTCACGCAGTCAGGCCGCTCTGGTCCGACTCCCAGGTTGACGCCGAGGGTATCGGAGCGCTAAGACCAAATGATTCCTTCTATCCATTTAGAGGCCACCACACATAGTCTCAACGATGATACCGGTGATCTGATAAGGATCGGCGTTCGACGCGGGGCGACGATCTTCAAAGTAACCCTTGCCGTCCTTGGCGCACTGGCGGGGGATACGGATGGAGCCACCACGGTCGGCAACACCGTAAGAGAACTTGTCGATGCTCCCGGTCTCGTGGCGACCGGTGAGACGCTCCTCGTTACCCTCACCGTAGACGGCGATGTGCTCAACGTGGCGGGCCTCGAACTTCTTCATGACGGCCTCAATAACCTTCATACCACCCTCGGCGCGAGTGGCCTTGGTGGAAACGTTGGAGTGAAGACCGGCACCGTTCCACTCACCCTTGATGGGCTTGGGCTCGAAAGAGATACGGACGCCGAACTCTTCAGCGACACGGTGAAGAAGGAAGCGGGACATCCAGAGGTGGTCACCCACTAAGAAACAGTCAGTCTCAAAAATAGTCAACATTCATAGGGCGTGTGCAAAACTTACTATCGATGCCGGGGCAGGGGCCGACCTGGTACTCCCACTGGGAAGGCATGACTTCAGCGTTGATTCCGGAGATGTTGATACCGGCGTACAAGCAGGCACGGTAGTGAGCTTCAACAATATCACGGCAGTAGACCTTGCCGGTACCAACACCGCAGTAGTAGGGACCCTGGGCACCAGGGAAACCACCACGGGGCCAGCCGTAAGGCCAGCCATCGGTGCCAAGGAGAGTGTACTCCTGCTCAAGACCGAACCAGAAGCCCTCGTCGGCGTTGGTCTCCATCAAGCGGTTGGCTTCGTGACGGAAGTTGAACTTGTTAGGGCTTCCATCGGCATCCCAGGTCTCGCAGAGGACAAGGATGTTGTCACCCTGGCGGAAGGGGTCGGGGTAGAAAGCGACGGGGCGAAGGTAGACATCGGAGTTGTCACCGGGGGCCTGGTTGGTGGAGGATCCATCAAAGTTCCACTCGGGAAGCTCATCAACACTCGTCACGGGCTTGAACAGAGTCTATGAGCGATTCAAGTTAGTCAATTGTTCCGAAGGAGCGCTATCTCACGTGACGGCGGGTGGCTGCGTCGCTTGCTGATCAAGAATCCCCGTGCACCGGGCTTATCGAAGCTCGAGAGGGATTCGAGATAAGACCATGCAGCAACCACGCACCTCCAGTCCACAGTGTGTAGCCCACAGGAGACAAAGCCTGGGTACCATATTTGGAGATGAGGTCCTACCTTTGTCTTGGAGCGAGTGCCACCGGTTGAATCAATCCAAACGTATTCAGCCTGAACGCGACCACGCTGGTCAAGGTTCATGTACTTCATGAGCTGTTTCCCCATGTCAAGTCAGTATATGTCATTCCTCTCTGGCTCGAAGGCCATTGTGGAAATCCAAAATCAAGAATCAAACGCACATTCCCCGTGTTGGAGACGACAGTTGCAGATTCGGACGCCTATAGAAAAGAATAGGTCAGGTTCAGTTCCACACTCCAGCGATGAAGAGATGACTCGTACCATAGTGAATATGGGTGTATGTGTGTGTTTAAAACTGGGTTTCAAGAAATCAAGCAACTTTTGGCAGTCCCGAAGGAAGAAAAACACGAAGAGACTTCAAAAATGGAAAAGCGAATTGAATGGGAGAATCCAAAGGAGGAGAGAATGAGTTTTAAAGATGTGGAGGGGCAAGGGATGATAACCTTTGGGCAAAAAAGAATTTAAATTTAGTCACTGACTTTCTTTTTTGGGAACTTTTCGTTTTTTTTTTTTTTGGTTTTTCTTTTTTTTTTTGGGCAAAATCAGGAAGACGCGGCTCAGCCATTTCCTAAAGAGGTTAAGCTCTGTATTGTGACTGTAAAGATCTGGCCCGATACGGGGTATCGATAAAAGTACCTCACACAGTGCGCGTAGTCGGCAATCCCTCTCCTGACTGCTCTTCTGGAATCGGTTGTCGTTGGGGAAACCCCTAAAAAAAAAGGCCTCAACTCTATTTTAGTCCGAAAATACGTCTTGTTTCAATAGAGCATCTGTATTGCCTCATAATTGAAATAGAACAACCCCATTTACTAAGTCAAAAGGTCTTTTTCTTTCTTCGTACAGCCGAGGGGAACGCCGTGAAAGTGAAGTTTCAATCTTTTACCAAATTCAACGCCACTTGTTGACGTCCGCGTCATCATCTTCGCATCATTCAGACAGTCCTTTACCAGTTCTCGCCGATGGATCTACTCGTATACTGGTTTGTTGTGTTATATTCGAATCTAAAAGCGAAAGGTACCAACTTCTCTTCGTTTGCTCTGTACTCCCGGACAATTGTAGCTCTTCTCCAGACTTTCACCTCCGCATCTTTGAGATGTCTACCAGACCGCTTCCGCCACTCGAACCAGTCTAGTCTCTGTGTCTGCTGACTGGCGATAGCCCTAACTAGTGCCCAATCAGCGGTCTGGTCTTGTAATGAAACTCTATGAAATGCCATAACATGAGCATTCCTTCTTCTCCCGTTGGGCCGATAAGATATATATAGAGTAGGCACGGATTTAAGGGGATGTTGTATGTAGGGCCAAACATGGCGCATGACCTGTCCCAGATTTCGTGTTCTTATCCTGCGGCTTTCTCTCCGAAAAAGAGCACCTCCACGTCTTATCTATTTATTCCACTCTTCATCTCCCCTAGATACACATTTTCCGTGCCTCAAGTGTTAATCTCGGTGCTCAACAGATAGTGATACATTGGTCACGCTTCTTAGCAACCGGCGCCAGGATTCCCGGGCCGAGCATACATCAGGTGCAAATCCCGCAAGTGCATGGGGAAGTGCACAACATGTTCGAGACGAAAAAGCAAGGTGAATTCTAGACAATCTCTTTGGCCCACTAGATTGTAATAATTTACATGCTTGTATCTTACAATTTTTTTTTTGATCAGGGGCGCATGGCTAGAAGAGCCATCGAAACTGTACCACGCAAACGGCTAAGAAGTCCGCCATTGCTGGGAGCCCCTAGGAACTACCACCAAATGGCAACAGAGCGATAACGAATCGCATGGCATTATAGATAATTAGAACGTCGTTGTTTTGTGCAGTCCTCCGTACTCCGCCATTTCGATATCTTTTAGGAGATCCTGTTCCTGCGGCATGGACAGATACCTACGCAGTACGGAGTCCACAGGTTTACTTTATCACGCGAGCCGGACCGGTTCAGAGTACGGAGTACAACCACTATACCTCGGTAATACAAGGTCCGCACAAACTCCATTGACTGGAGACCAGCCACGCCGCGAATGGGATCGATCAAGTCATATTCATGCCAGTGGGGTGGACCGTGGCAAAACGTTCTCGAAACCCCCGGTGATTCATCAATTGGACCAATCACACCGTTCTGCGCGGACCACCCCGACACCGGCCTTGGATAAGAGAATCATGGCAGTATTACAGGTCAATGAAGCATTTCGGTTATTCATATGTGTGGTTCCAATTATGTACTATAAGAGTCACGAGTCCGTCGGTGATTTTCCATGTGTTTTCTTAGATACGGGCACTCAGAGACAGACGTCTTAACATTCTTCGATGGGTGCACAGAGATGCATCTCGGAAAATTTTAGATCAGGGATTCCCCAAGGAAAATTAGAGTGGCGACGAGATCGTCTTCCCCCGTATTTTGTCCAGCAAATGGAAGACTGGCAAATGTCGGGAGTTTCAGGAATCCAAGGTGACTGAGTGGCTGTGGTTCCGATCTTCAGCCCTGTCCCTCATTTCTCCAGGTTTTGAATTTTCGTTCAGTTTCAGTGCCATACCCAACCACCTTAACTAGAGTCATGTCCTCGCTTGGAACCATATTTCAATCGGAGAAGAGTTGGCCTTCAACTGCAGGTATAATACTAGCATGGATGCTGAGACATCTAGATTCGGGCTTAGTCACCGGGCACGTCCGGGGGCTGTACGTGGTACTGTGTACCAGGATGCAGCATTTATCGTAGTCCCTACTCCATAGGATGGTGAATCCCTTGTTTATGGGAAAGGAGTGGAATGCAAAGTAACCAGAGAGATAGTTCGTGCACACAAAGAGACATAATTTTGAAAGATCAAATCCCACATCTCAATCCCTTATCCTCTGTAGTTCCCCTTTCCTATCGCACTCCTCTCATTGGCTCTGAGCGCCAGTGACAAACCGCGCTGACTGGCACATTCATCGGATCTTCACGTAATTGCTGTCTCCTTAGTTGCCGGATCGATTTCGATCAGGTCAGATGTTCCATATCTTACCAGCAATAGCCGACTTGTCTATCATGCAAATATATTGTGAGGGTTTTATAGGGAACAAAATGACTCATCGGCATGTTCGAAAGCGGAGCGAGGGGTGGATATGACACACGGATACTCCATAAGCCAGTTTGATCAACAAAATACTGTATTTGATACAGATCACCGGGCTGTTTAGAATATAGTGACCCGCATGCCAAGACTTTACACTGGCATCGGACCGTGAGACACATTTAGTTATCCGGATCCTTATGAATCAGCTTCCAAAATCTACTCCGTCCACAATATAAATATCCGTTTGAATCCCAAAAAGAAATAAAGGGGGGGGGGGCAGAAAAACCGATTTCTTGATCGCCACGTTGTAGTTGCGAATGAACCGTGCCAAGTGCCCAACACCGAGTGTGCGTGTGTGTGTTAGGGTGCTTGGCACAGTTATGACATGGATAGCTCCCCAAAACTGGGGAGGCAACAGCAAAAGCCTCAACCCTTTTGATGATTTCGACCGCACGAATGGTCAGCACTACACCCTCACCTTTGATATGAATTTAAAACTCAACCTTGAATAATGCCTCATAACGCCTCGTAAGCCTGAATGTCATTGGTATGACATCCCTTGCACCTAGCGGATCCATCAGTCGGGTAAATTAAGGTCTAATACCTCATTTGCTGTATTCCGTACAGGTCTAAAGTATACCATATATTGGCCTTTGACTGATTTGAAAAAAAAATACAAAGACGGTCAATGCATCTACTCCGTCCAACATTGTCCAATGTGATTGACATAAGCTCTGATTGACGCCCAACTCTATATAAATTACGGATACAACTGATCTGACCAAGCACATCTTGGGATTCACTTCATCCAGGGTTGATCTAGTGTAACCTGACCCATTTCCACATGTTCACCTCCGTCTCCCCCATGTCATATCCCAAATAACCCATGAAACCCTTGGAAGGAATGCACAATGTAGGCCCGGGCTCATGAACCCCGCATCATATTAAGGGCCTAGGCTTTTTATCTGATCGATTCTGAAACATTCTCCAGGGCCACAGTTTGCACCTACAGGCACACAACAGAGGAGGGCTTAGGGCTAGGTTTGCGTCCATATGCATCATTTGAAGAGTTTTGTTTCAGAGGATCTTTTGGGTTATAAGGTAGAGAAAGAGGAACTGTCTTGTGCTAAAGATACAAGTTCGAGATAGGTGGTCAATATGAAATGCATGAAGCTGAGGCAGATGTGTAGTTCGCGCATAAAAGAAGCACAATTCCCCTAAGGCGATGGTTGTGGTTATTAACAGAGACTACGCTTGACCTCCATCTTTTAAAGGCAAATGCCAAAGAGCACCCTAGGTACTATTTCTCTAATTCAGTGGCATTCACTTTGACGTAGGTGAATCAATGGTTCTCGTGGAACCAAAAAGTGTCGATCCTTCCGGGGGAGTCTATCCAGAAGAAAGACAATCCACGCAGCCACTTGCGCTTGTTACCTTACATGCCCTTTCTACTCTTCCAAGAAACAATTGCACGACTCAAACGGGGCACATCGAGGAAAGTGCCAAGAAGCTGGTCCGCGAGACTCCCACGTGCAGCGTAGCATGCTACTTCCCGGAGTGGCGGGGTTGAGACTCTCTCCACCTCAGTGATTTCGTCTACCACGTACAAAGCTAGAAACCCTTGGAAAGTGTGTGGAGACTCCAACTTGGTTCAGACATCAAGGATGTGGATTTGTACACCACCAGTCACACTGTGTGATTCAGTAGGTGCTGGAAATTATCAAGAATTTCGAAATTCAGGGTGCAATTGAGTTGAGGAGAAACTGGTAAAAAAGGAGCTAGCCAGTAGCGTGTGCATTATTTTAGTCTCATGGTAGAATACCTCGAGCGGAAACTGCGACTTCAGCTAACAAGATCCTACCCTAGCGATAGTGTATATTAATCGCAAGGTACAACCGCGACTTGGCGGATTGCAGATCAACGAAGGATGAGGCAAATGGAAATTGCGAGACTAGGAATTGCCTGGGTCTGGAATCCAAGAAGAACGCATCTCAGTGCCGCTGGATCTCACCCATTTCCGGCCCGCTGTTGCATCCAACGCAGTACCCACTCAACCAAGATGCTCAAGTCTTGCGAGACCTCGAGCACTCTGGCAATCTTCTGTTGTACATCCTGGAGCCCTAGATCAAGGTTGTCCATACCTTGCATTTCAGTGTCACCAACCGCTTCACCACCCATTAATCCAGCAGTGTCCACAACGGAGATCTGGCCGTTTAGCCCGACTTCAAAGCAAATTGTGATTTGTTTGGGGACTTGAATAGATCGGGCGGTTTCAGGATTCTCGTTGTAGTGCCTCTGATCTGTGATGAGTAGCATGAGAGCAGGAGCTTGGCCCAGTTGAATGCGCAAGGTCACGTCGACTTTGACGTCGTCCACGAACAGTTGTTCGGGGCTCTTTCCTCCTCTGGAAGGCGTTGAAAGTCCAACCCCAGAATCCTTCTTGCCATCATCCGAGCTACTGAGACCCAGTAGCAGATTCAATCTCTCCTCATTTGGATCACTGTTGTTCAAGAAGATGGGCCCGTCGTGACCAGCGAAGAGGTCTGGGGGTTGGATAGAAGGAGCGCGGGGATTTGGGGGGATTGCATTTGAAGATTGGGTGGTGTTGGCTTGATCCTTGGAAGGAAGATGGAATGTCTTCCGAATCAAATTGGCTAACACGGCATACTGCCGGAGGATCTAAATCGAGTTAGCGAAAAGACAATATTGGACGGAAACACACATACTGGAAGGATATCCGCGAGCTGCCGAGGGTGCGAGAAAGGTAGGTCACGGATGGTGCAACCAGTGATGGACTCAAAAGATTGGAAAGTGTAGTTATGTTGTTTCGTATATGGTGCGCCCTTTGAATTAACAGCATGCACGGTCATCCGGCGCTTTCTGCGGCCAATTTGAGGTGATGAAACCGGTGACGTCAACGGCGAAGTTTCCGACACCAACAACGCATCGTATGTGATCATCTTGAACTCTTGTGGTAGTTGCATACCGAGATGACGATAAATCTCCGAGGCTGCAAGAATAGGAACGTCAAGTGCAGGCTCAAGTTTACCGACGAATCGGCGGTTGGGTAGCGATGATTCCAGCATGCTAGAGTCCAACGCCATGGGATCATGATTGCCATGGGTCAGTCGCGTGGTCTGCGGAGGATCAAGCCAGTTCACAGACCCAGAGGCACCATTTGATGGAAGCAATTCAGTACTTTCACCCACTGTAAAAACCTCACTCCCAACCCATTCCTTTGAAATGCGCAGCGACGGATACCCCTCTTCGCACTCAATCATAACAGTCCATACTCTGCTTGGGTCGTCTAACTCGCCCTTCGAGGCTCGATCATGTTGCGGATCAAGATCCATAGCATCCGGAGACGGTAGGCTCCGCTTCGTATCCAGGACTTTGGCTTGCTCAACCCAATATTCCAAGCCGAGTCCGATTCGAGTCCCTTTGTGAATGGTTGGGCGTCCGATGACACCTGCACAAAGATGCTGATACTCGCCATTGTGCTTCCCATTCTTGCTTTCTTCAACCCAGATCCGCCTGAGGTTCTCTTCAAGATTCTCCAAGGCCTCAAAGCAATTCACCTCTTGGCTGAGTTTGTCAAGCTTCGCAAGCCATTGTAGATTCTCATGGAACTCCTCAAGTGACCTCCATTTCCCGCATTCGGCGTCCTCTGGGGACTGGGCGAGGGTTCGTTTCAAGACAGCTGTAGCTTCCTCGCGCCGCACACCTTCCGTATATTCAGGTGTGGCATATCGTAGACTGACGTCTTTGACAACATCCTGGCCAGGATAAAAATCGATCTCAAGATCGACGAAGTTACCGGCGATGTTGAGATTGTCGTCTTGCCAAATGGACTCGAAATCTTCGAGTCGACTCAATCGTTCCACGCTTTCGCGTGAAACTCCTCTACCAGAAACTCGGGCTCGTAGAAGCTGAACGACCTCCTCGACACGATGTCTCTGCTCTTCGTCGTTGTCGCGCGCGACTCCAAGCTTGATTCCCTGCATCCCGAGGTTTTGAATGTCGCTCTCGTTCATGCCCGCACCAACAAGACCATCATGCACCACAGGAGAAGGACTGATGCCAGTATATCCACCAAGCGCCAAGAGAGCCGAAGGCGAACTGAAATTGACAGTGTCGTCAACCCCACTCGGGACGGCAAGAGGGGTCGCATATTGATGGGACGAGACACTCGTGTGATGCGCATGAGCGGGTCCTGAGCCGGTCGGTGTTCTCATGGAAGGCGATTTATGGGCGAGAGATCGAGAGAGAGGAGCGGAGGAAGGATGGGGAGAGGATAGATGAGTTGGCGTTGCGCCAGGTTTTGCGGAGGGTGTCGCCATGATAAAATGAAAGGATTGGCCAGAGCAGGGATTGCAGAGTAATTGGAGATTAGATTTAGTCAAATCTGTCCGAAAAAAATGGGTATCATAAGAAGTATCGAAGCACAGAACGCAAGGAAGCCGGGTATCTTTGAATGCAACTTAATTCTCACCAGCGCAAGTGCCAGTTTGGTGCGTGCACAAGGGAAATGCTGTCAAAAGATTGTATCGATCAAGTATCATGACGCATCCGAAGCTCCCCCGTTCCCATGAACACTGCAATTAACAAGCACGAGTTTCTCAGAGAACATTCCACACGGACAGCGTCAAAAGACATGATCACGTGTGTTTGCAACATTTGTCTCCAACGTCATCTCTTTGCATTAACGGACTACATTCAGAGTACTTGGTTCATTTTAATTCCACCACTACATCTGCTATGGGGTGAAATAATGCACTTGCTGATCAAATTTTGACCTGCCCTTTTCTTGTGAAACTGCAATTAACAGGCAAGTGATGGGAATCATGGATAGTGACAAGACTACTGTGGCTGAAGAAGTGTGAACTGGAATTGACAAAGGTATTTTTCAATGTGGAAACTACAGAAACACGTGCAACCTATAGCGGCGTCAGAACAGGCTTTCCTGCCCAAAGCAAGATGCGACTCTTGTTCTCTTTGATTGTATAATTTGGCGTGTGTCGAAGTAGAATACCCAACACCAGTGCCTCACGCCCAGTGGAGGTATGCAGATGGATATCTTGCTGCTGGACGTAGCCTGTTTGCCACTCATCACGCTTTCGGCTATCTACAAGCATATCCCCGGTGATGAGGCCTGTCGTGATGTCGTTGGCCAGACATTCAGAAGCGTCGTTTTGCTGGCCCCGGAAAATGCCTGATATAGTTGCCTCTGGGTCATAAAGATTCATTGTGGGCGTTAAGGCTCAAGTAACTTCCCTCGTGTGGGAATCTGAAGGTAGAGATCTGGCACTCCCATCAGTGCAGTCAAGGCGGTAACTCTGTGCGAGGCGCTACCCTCGACATAGTGTCGTGCATCTTAAAATGTATTTGCCCGTAGTCTAGCGTTGAAGCTGGGGCTAGATGCTCAAGGCAGGATTCGTGATCATCATCACTTAAGAAATGAAGCTTTTGTGGGCCTGCTTGAATAAAGAAACTGCGGACCAGCTCTTCAGCAAAAGGCTCTGTGCAGAGAGATTTGGAAAAAAAGTTACCAAGCGACTAATTCAGAAAATGAAATACGTACTTCGTACAAAATGACGAATCCTGCTGTGTATACGGAGTAGCCCCTTGCTGATCGCCTCTGCGCCAGATGTCAGAGTGCATTTCAACATATTCTATTTTTGAGACATCATACGAGTCCACCGTATTTTATCTCATTTCAACCCGTGTTAATTTAATCCTGTTTGCAAGGTTATCTCGAGTTACCCAGGCCAAGCTACCTTTCGAGGAATCTGCAAGAATGTTGCCATCCAGCCCGAGTGATCCTCCAAGGTTGTTTCGGGGCCCCGCAGAGTGCATGTACTCTGCAGATCAACATCGGATGAATCTGACCCGACCTGTAGCGGTCAAACACCCAACCACTCCAATCTGGTTGAATACCCAACAAGTCATTCTAGCAACTTCATCGGGAGTGAACCCCGTTATATAGGCAGAAAACTGAAATATTTCTCATCCGGCCTTCAACATGGCAATCAATAGTAGCCATACCACAACATCCGAGAAAACTCTCGATCGGAGCGAACAGTTTTGGAGACGTGAATTCAAGGACTTTTCAGCAACGATATACCCCGTGGTCTCTTCGCTTTACAAGCCATCGACTCTCAAAATACTCACCGAGAATATCGATCTTGCATGTGGTGAACTTGATCCTGTCTCGGCCGGGGCAGCGTTGGCCCTGGCATGGGGTCTCGTTCTGTCTCGGTACACTGGCAACGATGATGTTATTTTCGGCCTTGGTCTTGAATCAAAAAGCAATGATTTTTCCGACACGCCGGTATTGCCTTTACGGCTGTTGGTCGACCCTCAGCAATCAGCGATGGAAGCGCTTAACAACACTGAAACCAAAATCATGGACCGGTCTACATTCGGTGTATCCTCAACCCGAGAGTTATCCGAGTTAGGTGGAGAAATAGCAGCAGGGTGTCAGTTCATGAACATCCTCAACATCCGACAAGGGCAACAAAACCATCCCAATGCCTTACAAAGCAACGAAGCGCACAATGTGCCCCTTGTGATCCATTGTGAGATCCGAACAAACGGTGTAGATGTAGAGGCCCTGGTGGATCCTTCTACAATTCCCGTCGAAACGACACGCATGATGTTGCACCAGCTAGGCCATTCTTTCCGGGCTACTCTTAATCGTCGCTCTCGGGATACCCTTGTTGGCGATCTCAGGTCTGTTTGTCCCCAAGGCTTGGCCGATCTGATGGAGAGAGGAGTCCAGCCGCCTTCTCCCTTGGTGCATGCCCGTGTGCACGATCTCGTCGTAGCACAATGCCAATCTAGCCCATTAGCGCCAGCTATCGCTGCTTGGGATGGCCATTTGACCTACCACGAGCTTGATCAGTTTTCTTCCCGCCTTGCAACGAAGCTCGCAAAGCTCAAATTGATACAGCCTGACAAGATAGTACCTGTTTTAATGGAGAGATCGGTGTGGGTTTCGGTTGCTATTCTCGGTATCTTGAAGGCGGGGGGCGCTTTTCTTCTAATGGACGTCTCTTTTACGGACGACCATGTGAAGCAGATTTGTGCAAAGATTCAACCTCCGCTTGTTCTGACATCTGGCCGCCAAGAGGATCGCGCAAGATCGCTGGATACACCTTTTTTGGTGGTGGGAGACAAGGCACTGTCGGCTGATGATGAAGGAAATGGTACATATCTTCAGTCCGATTACGTACAACCATCGGACGCATGCCATGGTCTTTTTACTTCTGGGTCCAGCGGGGATCCTAAAATCGTCGTCATAGATCACGCCGCGGTATGCACTGCCTGGGCACAACCGACAGCCACCCAACTCACGCTTTCATCATCATCTCGGGTCTTACAATCTGGCTCCCATGCATTTGGTGCGTGTGTTGTAGAGTACCTTGGGGCCATGGTACATGGGGCTTGTTTATGTATAGCTCCAGATTTGGGTCCAGGGAATGATGCAGTAGAAGCCATTCAGAAGTTTAACGCCAATTTCATCACCCTGACCCCATCTGCATCTCGTCTCCTAGATCCAAACCAGGTCCCCTCCCTCCAAGTTGTGGTTCTAGCTGGCGAGGCGCTGGGTCCCCTTGATCTGGAGAAATGGCAAGGACGAGTGCAATTGAAATGCATGTATGGCTTGGCGGAGACTGCAGCATTCTCCTTGCTCGCCGATCTGACCACACCTAACTCAAACTACCGAGAGATTGGAGTGCCGACTCACACATGGAATTGTTGGATTGTAGACACCAACAATGTCGAAGATCTGGTACCCCCTGGTGGAGTAGGGGAGCTGCTGTTGGAAGGGCCCAGTCTAGGACGGGGTTATCTTGATGATCCTGCTCGTACGGCCCAGACTTTCATTCCGACCCCTTCCTGGCTCATGCAAATTCGACCCGTGGCATCACATGATTCTCGCTGCTTGAAGACAGGGGACCTCGTTCGCTACTCTCCCAGCGGGACAATTGAGTACATCCGCCGAAAGGACGTAACTGAAGTCAAGATCCGAGGACAGCGAATGGACCTAACGGACGTTGAAAGACACCTCGCGCGACAGTATCCCACGGCGACTCGAGTAGCCGTGGATGTAATCATTCCGTCAGATGATGTCTGCCATAATCGTACCATGCTGGTCGGCTTCGTCTATACGGAGCCCCCACAGCACGGTGTGGAAAACGAAAACGATGAGATATTTGCTCGCTCGACAATCGAGAGTCGAGAAAAGGTAGCCACCGTCCTCTCCACCCTGAAAGAAGTACTTCCTACATTCATGGTACCCGACGTCGTTGTGACTGTCAACCGAATCCCAATGACAACTTCGGGCAAGCTACACCGCGATCGACTACGCCGTCTAGCCTCAGCATTGCCTCGCAGAGCTTTACTGGCCCATGGCAACATTCCATTCTCTGAGACTGATAGGCACTCTGAGAGGCTTGTTGAGTGAATCATTTATGAAGCCCATGTGTAGGCTCTAGGTTTCGGGCGTGTGGCCGCAGATAGACTTTCAGAGCTGGACAGGGATCCTCTTGCCGCTTGTCGAATGGATTGAATCGGTTTAGACCGCATTCCATGTAAATTAAGTACCATGTTTCCTTTGGTTGATAAACATGCACTTGGGCTTCTGAATTACACAATCGAGCCGATCTATCATATCTCGCAAATAAGGAAAGACGTTTAGTTTAGCAGAATTTATAAACCCGCTTGCGTGGAAACTAAGACGGGAGATCCCGAGAACCTAAACTTTATTGTTAACTACCTCCTCAAAGATGGCACCCATAATGGGCCAGAAGGACTTGGCAGGACAATTGGAAATAAAAAGCTGCCAATCAAAGTGGGAGAGAAAATTAATTAAGAGGGGTGTGAAAAATGTCCTGAATCTATATCTCGGTCAAATCAGTGTCGACGACAATTTCTGATGCCAATAGTGTTTTACTTTCTATGAATAGTGTCCCACCTCCTTCAGGCCGTGTAGGCTCAGCAAGTTGATGCTCTGGACCATGAGACTCTGTGTCAGGAGAAAAGTTGACAGAACTGCACTCCATGGTCAGAGGGAACTCAGCTAGGGTGTCTGATCCAGCATCACAACCTGGACACTGTGAATTTTTTCGTCTGGGTGTTTGGTGGCTCGTTCGAGCTTAAGTTCCTGCACACATGGACTCTTCCACACATAAACAGAATAGTAGTCTAGCCCTTCGCGCCGAGCTAACTGCTCAGTGAGGCTCATTGCCAGAGGGTGCTCGAACAGCTGTGTGAGGTAGCGTTTTCGCTTGCTGCTCACCTGGGCAGAAAGTGACTTGTGGATAGACTAGACTTCCATGTAGAAATGTAGCTTACATACATACAAATAAGATTCAACTTCACGCTGGTTATTGAATAATCACATTCTGTTTCTTGTATTGAATACCTCCAACCTGTATGTAAAACTGGCAATTTCCTAGGGATGAACGTATGACAAATCCAAGTAGTTGTCCCGGCTCTCGGAGAAAGTTAGTTCCGCAGCCCTGCTTGTTGCCTTGTAAATCTGGCATCAAGCTAGCGCTCGAGTCCACTTTTCTTCCAACATAAATTCACCGCTTTTGAAACCGCCTGCCATTTCCATCGAGCTATGATCCAGCTCTCTCGATCATATTTAACCTGCTACCTTCGAGGCTAGCTGCTCAATTAAACACTGCCAAGTGCTTTGCTATCTTTATAACTCTATGTTTACAGCAAGATTATTTGGCCGACAGGCCCGGGTTTCTCCCAAATGGACTTCGTTCCGTTGTGTATCGACATTGGAAGGGTCTCCGCACATAGTATGCGATTGCTGTACTTCACATTGTCCTCATTGAAGCTAAACTCTTGATAGTACGTATTTCAAAATGCTGGACCAGCAAGTGGAACTCACGTCTTGTCACTATTGCCTTCCGAACCAGTCAACCCAGACCTGGCTATCGGACTCGCGACTCAACTACCACCGACAACAGACTCCTTCAAAGAGAACCCTAAATTCCTGAATATAGTACAAGAAGTGTGCTCAGAATTCGCACATGAAGATCCCGATGCCAAGTCTCAAGCGCAGGTCATGGTGTCTGTGGCCGGGGCGAATCTGAATTCAGGCGGCGTGTTATCAACCGGCCGGAACGGGAGACGTAGAGGCGACTCGAGCAGTGGTGCTAGCGGTCAAGGTGGTGCAGGCGCCGGTGGACGTGGTGGTTGGATTCATGTCTCTGACGGCAGACGGCCGCCTGACTATGGACGGATTGCTTGGTAAGGGCTTGCCTGTGTTTCACAAGCACGCTTTACTCCAGATGAGACTAATAATTCATCCAGGCCTGAAGATATGTTCGGAAGCCTTGAGGTAGATTCCAATGGTCAGTTTGTTGGGGAAAATGGCAATTATCAACCAAGTGGTATGTTTTCCGACTACAAGAGACACAACAGGTCAAGCTAATACTTAGCAGGTACCTATCGCATCCTAACCCGGGATGGAATGTAAGTTTCCCCCTTTTAGTTGTTGGGCCATGCTAGTATTCAATGTTGATTGATTGGCATAGTTTCGGATTGAGTCCTTTTCTCAGAGAAAAGCTGGTTCAAAAGCTACGAGAGCTTGAGAAGTGAAATCTTCAAAAATAGGGCATATCGCCATATGTGAACACCCAACAGTCCACTTGGAGCTCCACTTCTCGTTTCAGCCCGCATTCGATCACTATTGAACTTTTCTGCCTAGTCTTTCTTCAACCACGATCGTCTCGTCATCTTGCAGGACAGTTGAGTCTCCTACTTCATGGAGCTGAGCTCACTCGATGCATTAGAAACGACTTGCATCGTCTACTCAATGTAGTTCGGTCATGCCGTCCCCATCGCTGCCTTGACAAAAACGAAGAATGCAGTTTGGTCAAAAGTTTGGCCAACAAGAAAAAGCAATATTCATGTGCTTTATTGCATCTCTCATTACTTCTTGAAGAAACTCGTAATTCGCTGTGATCCATCTGCCGCCTTCTTCCCACTGGCCCTCTTCATAGGACTATTATGTGTAGCACTGCGCAGCTTGTTCTTTTGCGGCGATGGCCCCATTTGATCTGAATCGACCATTTGCTTCTTACTTTCCTCCACTGCACCAGGAGCTTCTGGACTATGCTCCCTTTTGACAGCTGACACCGGTTTTGGGATATTGTCCTCGCTCCATTCTGAAACCTTAGTTGTGCGATCCTCGTCTTTAAATATCTTCACTTTCGGTGACTCGGCCTCCTTCGTTGGAGGGGGATCTGTATTCTCCTTCGAATTTATACTGGCAAAGAAGTTTGCAATGTTGCTCTTGTTCTCCTTGCTGTCAACAGGAACAACAAAGTTCGGGGAATTATTTCCGACTTTCCCAACCTCGTTGGGAACAGGATAGCATTCCAGTTCGCCCTCGTAGGGCTTGAGAATTGATTGGAGCTCCTTTGACCAGGTCTTCTGGCGGGGGTCCAGCCATTTATTCATTGCTTCACTACCGGAGTCTAAAATGACGGGCATGCGTTCATGCAAAAACTTCAGGTATGAGTTAGACGAGGTCGTGATCACCGTGTACGTGTAGAGCTTTTCGTCAGAACCTATGCAATGAAATTGTCAGCCCGATTATTAGTTCACGATGTCAGAAAAGCATTGACATACCCTGATAGGAAACACAGTCCCACAACCCAGCGAAGCACATTAGCTCACCGTCTTTGCGCCGGACAAAGTGCGGAACCTTTTCTTTGCCCCCGGGCCCCTTCTTCAGCCACTCGTAAAAGCCCTGGCAAATGACAATGCACCTCTTTCGTCGCTTCATGGTAGTCCACATCCCCGAATCCTGGATCAATGAGTCATCGCGACAGTTGATCGTGCGCATCATAGATCCGTAGTCTGGCTGACGCTTCGTCCAGAATGGGATGAGACCCCATTTCATGCTCTGCAGCTTGTATTTGATAACCCCGTTGTCTACTGTCGTAGCATCTGAGCTCATGTCATCTTTTGCTTTTCCTAAATCTTGATCTTGGCGCTCGCTATCAGCATCTTGCTGAGCATCGTAGCTCCCTTTGTCGGTGATCTCAGCGCGATAGACAGCGCCGAAGTTGCCCGGTGCAAAGTTAAATGTCTCTCTGACCGCATCATCGTCTGGTGCTTCATCCACCTGCATGCCTTGCTCTTGCATGCGTTTTTGGATGTACACCATGCGCTTAAGATCGTCAGCTGGCGGACAGTCTTGACGCAGGGGCTGTAACATACCACGCCCAAAGCGTATCGCCCACACATTATCGGTGTAAATCACTAGATCAATTCAATAGCGAGGGCTTTACAATCAATGCTGGATCGAATCAGTGCATTTTCCTGACGGAATGGGTGGAAAGGCGAGTGCATGCTGCAGCGGGCGACGTCATATGGCGGAGCGGAGCTTGGACCACCTGAAAACCAAGGGCTCTCCATCAACTCACCATGTGCCCTCTCCCTTTCCATCTCCTTCATTCTCTTCATCAATCCCTCAGGTCAAAACAGACTAGCGCCCGCTCAACAAAACAACACATGAAATTTTAATCGAATACCTACCCACACACTCCCAATGTTCCGCGCAGCATCACGGCACACGAGCGCGCAAGCCGCAAAACTTCTACAACCACAACCAAAGAGCCTCACCCGCTCAATATACACAAACTGCACAACCCGACCAACCCCCCAATCCCGCATCAACAATGGCAAACCACTTGCAAGCCCCTACATCTCCGGCACACGACACCTCACGATCATGCAGAAAATCAGCCGGAAATACCGCGAAGCTTCTAAAGGAATCTGGCGCAAGAATCCCATCCTCATGCCACTAGCAATCTTCTCCGTTGTCGGTGGAGCCTTTATTTTCGCCTACATCTCCTACGTGGAATTGACACGAGTCGGGCCACAGTACCACAAATTCCCGCCGCCGGTGGCCGACGCTCTCCGCACGGCTATCTATTACACCGAGATCGATCTCAACCCAGCTAAATCGATGAAGGCATACAGAGAGGCGCTGCGTATATCATTTGAGATGGGAATACACCCATACTCGGATGAGATACTTGGGATCAAGCTGCAAGTTGCTATGATGCTGGAGAAGGCTGGACTTGTGAAGCCTGCGATTGATGTGTTGGAGCGAACGAAGAACGAGACTCTGGCCTGGGTGGAGGATGTCACAGCAGGAAACGATACTGCAGCGGCCGAGAAGGTGAAGCAAGCGCAGGCGCAGGTGCAGAAGAGCACGGTCAATGTTCAGGTTGACACCGAGGCGATTCAGGAAACCGAAGAGGACCTGAAAGCAATGGCGCAGTATGAGGCTCGTCAGCGAGATAAGGCACTCAAGAAGGTTGTCGGCATTGCAATGAAGCTTGGCGAGCTTTATTCCAGCGAGTACATTCAGGATGAGAAGAAAGCCGAGGTCGCGCAGGTCGCTGCTGTGGAGATCTGTCTGAAGGAAATGCACCGTCGCCAGAGGCTGGGACTTCCTGTTGGAAGCTCTAGCAGTGGTGAGGGCTCGGACGGCGAGGCATGGCTGAACCTCACTGAGATCGCGACGGCGCTGGCTGAGCTTGCTGCTACCTATACCGCCAAGGAGCGGTATGAGCTGGCCATGCCGCTGTATATGCGTGCGTTGGATTTGATCCGCGCCGCGGAAGGAACTTCCAAATCGTGCAAACAGGTCGTGCTGCTGAACGACATTGCTACCGCTCTGGTCGGCCAGATTCAACTACCCGCCAAGTCTCAGCCACAGCAACAACCTGTTACGGCGGAGCAGACTGTTGAGGCTGCCCAGAAGTGGGCGGAAAAGGCCATTGAGGTTGCGGCGCACATCCAACCTCCTCTACGTGACGAGGAGTGCGATATTACTTGTGTGGTTGCGACGTATAACCTGGGCGAGCTGGCTGAGCTGCGTAAGAAGCCAGAAGTCGCCAAGCAGCGGTATATTGAGGCCAAGGCGATGGCCGATGGGATTGGATATGAGGAAGGGAGTATGATGGCCAAGGAGGCTTTGAAGAGACTTGGAAAGAGATGATGGGTAGATCTGAGAAGGCCTCTCTGTTCAGCCATTACGACCGTTGGAAATAGAAATCTCAAACCACTTCTGTACATTTGGCACTATCCGAAGAACTTCAGCAGCTATCGCAGCAATACCCTACGTAGGCAGACACGATATAAGAAACAGAGAAAACATTAATTCAACATGAGCGACAGGCGGTACGACAGTTTTACAAGAGATTTTCAATAATAAAAAATAGGAAACATTTTGATGCCTTAACTGGTATTAGAACATCACACGTCTTGTACAAGATTCCATACATTTTACATGCGGATCGAGTAGGCTAGACATGTCAGAAAACCTCCAGGCCGGGGACGACTCAGTCCCGGCGAGAAGTGCTTCATTGCTCGTGGCTCATACATCCCAAACCAATGCTCTTCTGGCCATATCTTTTGAACTTTTTTTCAATTCCCTTGTCAACAGGTCAAAAAGAGGCTCCTCAAGCTCCGATACAACAACTCAAATCTATGCGCGCGACATAACACCCCAGGCACGGATCTTGTTGTCAGTGTAACCGGCGAACAGGGTCTGGCCGTCAGCGGACCAGGCCAAGCTGATGCACTCGGGGTCACGGCTCTTCTTGCCCTTCTCAACGAACTCAGGCTTGAGCTCATCAACCTTGCTCTTCTTCTCGAGGTCGAAGATGGTGATGGAGCTGCTGGTGGCAGCGCAGAGCCAGTAGCGGTTGGGAGAGAAGACAAGGGCGTGAATCTCATCACCAGCGGAGAGGGAGTAGAGGTGCTTGGACTCGTTAAGGTCCCAGAGCATGGTGGTACCGTCCTTGCCACCGGAGGCGCAGAGAGATCCGTCGGGGGAGATAGTGACGGTGTTGATGTATCCGGTGTGACCGATGTGGTCGGTCTGGAGACGGCAGGAAGCGAGCTCCCAAACCTAGACGCGAATCAGGTGTTAGCGTCGATGTTCTCATAAAGAATGTTATGTGTCAAGGAAAATTTTTCCAATCCTTCTCTCGTTCAATTAAAAACGATTGAAAATTGTTGCTGTGCCCATCAGGCAAAATGGGTGAAAATTGTCTCATGGCCCCGAAAGGCTCTGAAGTAGCAAATACGTTTATGCAAACATCACGCGGGCAAAGCATTGCGGGGAGGAAATTCTGTAGGAAAGTTCGGAATCGAGAGCGTACCTTGACGAGCTTGTCCCAGCCAGCGGAGACAATGACGGGGTTCTGGGGGTTGGGGCTGAAGCGAACGCAGGAAACCCACTCGGTGTGACCCTTGTCGGTGATGGTGAACTTGCAGTCACCGAGGGTGTTCCACAGCTTGATGGAGCGGTCACGAGAACCGGAGACGATCTGACGGTTGTCGGCGGAGAACGAGACGGACAGAACATCGTTGGTGTGGCCGACAAAAGTGCGGGTGGTGTTACCGGTGGAGAGCTCCCAGAGACGGAGAGATTTATCCCACGAGGCAGACAGAGCGTAGGCACCGTCGGAGGAGATCACCTATAACGCAGACAAGACCATTGGTCAGCCAAAACCATTCCATCTTTTTTTTTCGAATTGCGCCATCCAAATCCACCTGTCGCATCCAATGGCTTGTGGGTTTGGTTCACTCGGGAAAAGAAAAACGTACACAGTCAGAGACGATGTGCGAGTGACCCTCGAGGCTGCGCTTGGGGTAACCGTAGGCCTGCTCATCACGGGTAAGGTTCCAGATGATCAGGGTCTTGTCGCGGGAAGCGGACAGCAGCATGTTGGGGCTATCATCAAACGTTCAAGTCAGAATTTTGTCCCTTCAAAATTTCAATCCTCCGATCGGGATAGGTCGTTCTTACTTCTCCAGGGAGGTGGCGAGGGAAGTAACCCAGCCATTGTGGCCCTCAAGGGTGCCGCGAAGAACCAGCTGCTCAGCCATGATGGGAATGAGACAATGAAGGAGAGAGAGGGATGGGCGGAGATTGTCGTTGACTCTGGGGGGGGGAGGTAAAATCGAGATGGGAGGCAGACGTGCCCGCTCAAGCCCTAAGCCGCTTCGCTGCTCTCCTTGTGTGGTTCCGTGGAGCCCTAATACTAAGCGAATGGATCACATGACTTGCATCAATGCAGAGCTCTGGACCTCGGCTGCGATGCATATCGGACATGGAGAATTAAAGGTTGATTTGTATTCAAGTTCTCTCTGTCATGTTCAAAAATTTCCATTTGCTTTTTCTTTGTTTCCCAGTTTTGAAGCTTTATACCCGTTGATCCCAGTACCATCAAATACACAACGTTCTTAACACACGCCTGCATATGGACAACACGACCACTGCGACAACTATAGTACAGTTTTGAAATCGACAAACCTGCTGAGGTCGATTTTCTCCTTCACAGATACTCATGAGTTAAACACCTGAACATCGGGCATTCTTCCCAAGCCACCGCCACCAGTCTTCTTATTCTTGGCCTTCTCAAAGCCAGTAGCACTCTTATCGCGAACATGCTCTCTGAGGAGCGTGAGTACCTCAGAGCCCCGCCAGCGCGACGGAACAGGCCGGTAAGCCGCTCTGAAAGCACCGATGGTCTGCGCCCATTCACCGCTTTTGGCACCGGTCTCCTTCCAACCCTCGGTGATGGTATCCTCTTTTGGAGCAGTGGGTGAGATCTCCTCCGGCGGGTCCTGCGTAGCCCAGTAGTAGATGTCCCAGTCATTTTCGTCGAGGAAGCTGTCGTATTCGACGAGCTGATCGTAGTCCATCTTGCCCAGGTAGACATCTGCGAAGGTCGAGAGTAGCAGGTCTGACTCCAGGATTCCGCGCTTGCGGCTTTGATCTGAGGTAGAATCGGTTAGCTTGAAAGATTCTTAATATTTTGATGCACCGGATCCTCGGCATTAGCATTGGGACCGAGGTTTCAGCACGGATGGGAACGGATACGAACATAGCAAACGTGCTCTCTTCGTGGCAAGTTCCTCCCCAACTCTCTTCAAGGGCTCAACCTTAAACGTAATACCCTCCATCTCGCCAACGCCAAGCTCTGGCTTCTGCGCTCCGTTATCCTGACGACCACCGGTGAAATGTTCAATCCTTCCGGGGTACGGATCGGACGGTCTGTAATTGGGATCGACTGAGTTCAGCATCTCCGGTGGCGGTGGCTTCTGGCCGACATTGATGAAGTCCTTTGTCATAGTAGAGGTTGTGTTGGGCACAAATTGATTCGGAGACTTTTTGGACTGGTTTGAGCGGTGCGCCTTTACCTCCGGAGCAGCTTCGTCGCCATCTTTGAAGCGTAGAGTTGTTGCGCCGAATTGGCGGTTTGATCTTGTGATTGTGCTTAAGGATGATGGCACTGGTCGCACAAGGCGCTGCAGTATACGTGGGCCGGACATATTGTTGTGCGTTATCCCGTATAGAGAGTTGGGACTTTCTTTCCTCTAGGAATGAGGAGTTGGCGTTTGATGCTCGGCTTTGACATCATCCGGCGTATTAGCCCGGGGAACCGAAAAGCTCCTGCAATGCCCGGTGTTTGTTCTGTTTGCAAAGCTAAACATTCCACTGAGAGGCCGTGGATTACACACTTTTAAACACAGTTCAGTTCTCTAGCTTATTTCTCTAGGTTCCATGTGTCTAATAAGGCCTTTCTGAACTTGGAATCGAGTCCCTTTCATTTTTGCTGTCTTGGCCTGTCTGTTGTTTTCGTTTAATTGGACTTCATATCCCTCTGCAAGATGTCGATCTAGATGCATACACCGATCTCGTGTAGACATCCAACGCTCTCTCTTTGTTGTAGAGCTCTCTTCTAAGGTACCTACCATGTAAGTAGTGCTTTACCATGCACTAAAATTTCCATCCATCCATGAATCCTCGTGCTAAACCGCATTCTATGAAAAGGAGTCCGGTGAAGTATAACTGACCAACCATCCCGAAAACATCACATGCAAGAATCAGAAAATCTTACTAGCGCCAGGCTGCAGAACGCATGGTGTACATTTTATATCATTGAGATCATGACTGTTGAACAGAATGCCACTTGACATTAGAGCTAAAGGATTTGCAATGCAACCGCTGCAAAACTAGAAAAAAGAACCATCAAAGATGCAACCATTCCATGGACGAGTAAATTTAGATAAGGTGTTTAGATCTGTAAGAACCAATTGGTCAGCAACCAATACCACCCTCCACCACAATCGCAATTCGACATACCTGAAGTAAGCCCTCAGGTAAACAACCTGCCAAGCACCAAGCCCGACAAGCATACCCATGGTCCCGAAAGCGAACCACTTGACACGCTCATTGGTGCTCTCATTGGTATCACGCAAACGCTGCTCACGTGCACGCAGGTACTCCATCTCAGTCACCACATCGGCAACCATCTCCTCGATACGGCGGAGGTCTGTCTCAACGGGCTTGAGCTTCTCCTGCGACTGGACACTGTTCCAGTCGCGAGCGTCTGCGCCAATCTCGATATCAAGTTCGATGGGGCGGGAGGGGTTCTGGATGGTGCCTGATGGGGTGGTGTTGTTTTAGTGTCACTTTCTCTTTGATTCTGATTTTTCCCCGCAGAAATGTTCGGATTGCTTGAAGGGGCTACCACTTACTGTGGCCGATAAGTTGGTTCTCGAAGCAGACGTCGAAAGCCGTGTCCGCGGGCGAAGTGAAGATCTGACGTGTCTCGCCGATGACATCCTTGGGGCGACCGTGATCATTTCCCATAGCGTCCTTGATCTGTACAGAAAAAAGAATGAGTTGCGGTCCACAATTTAGCACTTCAGCGGATTGGTTTCCAAGCCCCAGCAAACCAAGGACGACACCCTATCCTCATCCAGATATAATTGCACGTACATGAATGTTGACCTTCTGGCCATCAGCCTTCGTGCCGCCAACAATGGTAGTGACAACGACGAGCTGGTCCTTCGAGACGAAGTTGCGAATGCATCTCTCGTTCTTGCCACTACCTGAGGTGGCGATGAGGTCGAATTTCAGGGCGCTGGCAAGCTGAACAAAGACAAAAAAGAAGCCAAGGATACCCCTCAACGTGATAGGTGAGGTGCCCATTTTTGCGGCGTGGAATTGGCGGTTGTAAACACGGATGCTTGCTGCAGTTGATGACACCTGGTAAGGGGAGCGCAGGATTAACTTTGTTCCGACGTTACGGCCCAGGAGCTATACTTTGAGGGGTGTGGGGGGGGGGAGGGAAGGGGGTTCTTGCTTCATACGGCAAATAATGCTTGGCTCTGAAATTTTAGTGTTTTCCATAGCTGGGTTATTCCTACGAATTGATTTGTGATGTTCATAGAAAAGGAATGGTTTCTGAATGTCAGGGCACTGAAAAATGGCCCAAGTATAGGCATGGTATCTCGAAATCCACGAAAACAATGAATGCGACGTCCCACCAAAGAAACAAAATAGAAAACCCGAAGTCCGTATTAATCGTTCAGTCTTGCGCGGAGAGTTGGAAGGGAAAGTGCCGCACAGAAGTGCAAGAGAAGAGAAAAAAAAAGCCACCCGGTCGTAGCCAGAGTGAACAGTATGAAATGAAAAAGTGGACATGGCTCTATCTGAAAAAAAGCCAAGGAAAAGGGAATGGCAAATGTGGCAGTATGATGTTGCACAAGCAAGAAATACCAAAGTGATGGACATGATATGTAGATCGTTAGATGAATTGGAACGCTCAGCAAAGCAAGACATTAGTCGAGAATATCGTTTGGATACTTTCAACCCACTAGGCCCCAACCTTTTTTCGACGTGTGAAGAAGCGGGAGAAGCCACTGTCCTTTGGCTTAGATCCAATTGGTGTTGGTGAAGATCGCGTAGTGCCCGGAGGAGGCCCGGTGTTACGGAAGAAATCCGCCAAATCACCAGTGTTAGTCTGGCGGTTTGAGATAGAAGGTATAGTGCCATTATTGCGCTCCTGGCCAACCTTGGTTGGGGAATTTTGTGTGCGCAAGGAGGTTTGAGAGGTGCGGAGCAGGCGGGCCTTCATGCCCGATGCACCAGTCAGACCATTTGATGAAGGAGCACTGACTGCAAGCGGCTTCGGGAACTGTTCGGAGGGGGGAGGGGGGGGAACGTTGCGCAGGAAATCTATCAGGCTCTCCTCCTCACGCCTGGGCTTGGGGTTTGCTTCCTTTTCCAGAAGCTCTTCCAGAAGCGCGTCATCATCATCGTTGTCAATGGCGTAGGGATCTGGGGCACGGCGTTGCTTCCGAACAGGTTGAGGCTCATCGATGTCCGTGGCGCTTCCTGATGCAGTAGCCTTGTTTCGATTTGAATCCAGCAATCCGGACCGTGAACCAAGAGATGTCAAGGATTTATTGGGTGTAGATCCAGCGCTGACGAAAGAGCAGAAAGTAGTGTTCTCTAGATGAAGATCATCTGAATCAAGAGTGTCACGGAAAGGTGCAACTGCCCGAGGAATTCGGTGAGCACCTGCTGGCATAGGAGGTCCCTCACGAATGAAGTCGATGAGGTCCGAACTCAGAGATCCTCTTGTCGCAGCAGACCGAGCTTGAAGTTTAGGTCGGTTGCCACGGGAGACAGAGGAGAGAGTTGATGGAGGACGAGCAGGACGTAGGCTCTCGGCAGAGATAGAGGTCATAGACTCGAATGGCCCACTAGCAGGGCCAGTCGATCTCATGAATTCTGCAAAGTCGCGTGTCGAATCCGAGGGCACGATTCGCGCATCCCGCGCTTGTCCAGTTTTGCTAGACCTCGAGGTTGGTGACAAACTGGCCAAGCGGGTGGTAAGTGGGATGTGCTTGGGTGACTCAATGGATCTGGTGTGGGAGATTGGAGATATCTCCTCAGTTGCTCTTGGGGAAACCAAAGTTTGAGGAGAGGGTTTATCTTCGACTGGTGGTGGTGCAGTGGTATCTAATAAATCTGCGAGGTCGGAGACGCCTGCCGTTTCTGATCGAGGAACTGATCGGTTAGGCAGGTCGGGGAAGGTCATCTCCCTCACACTTCGGGGCGTGAGGGTGTAATGAACAGTCTCATCACTGTTGATCAGCGTGTCCAAATTGGCAGCCTCGTTGTCTGCAGAGTCTACGCTCCCGTCAGATGCGCGACTAGTCTCAGACGAGCTGCGCATGCCGGGTGAGCCAGAGTCACCCTGGGATCGACTCAAGATACCCTTCAATTTGTTAGACACCTGCGACGTGGTAGAGCCAGCAGTCATTGGACGCGTATTCTCGCGAGTGCTACCGAAGCTACCAGACCGACGGGTTTTACTGATGACAGAAGAAGACATCGATGACCGAGACATGCGCTGAACAGCGGCTCGTTCAACTGCCGAAGCAGGGGCAGAAGAGCTCCGGTTGCTGGTTGTAACCTCCACTGGAACAGGTTGGGGGCGAGCTTTTGATCTCTGCGAGTTACATGAACCGGAGGTCGTGCGACTGGCATCGGCCGGGAGAGCTTGTGAAGAATATGCCGCCTCAGTATGTTCCTCCGATAGCCAAGTGGGCCGGGTGGTGGTCGTGGCCATGTTAATCTGATCATCATCAGTCGCATGGTGATTGATACAAGATGTGACAGTCTCCATCGGAGGTGCGGGTGGAGCTTGCGAAGTCTCAGCCCCTTGCACTGTAGGCTGGCTCTCCACAACGTTTTGCATTTCAGAGTCACTAGTCTGGTCAGAGATCGACCTTGCACTCAGTAGACTGGTATCCCTCGAGGACTGGCGTGTTGGTCGGTATATCGTCGAAGTCAAAGTAGGCTTTTCGCGCAATCCAATGCCCTCAATCACTTTTGGGTCTTTCTGATTTGGCTGATCACTCAAGGATACGACGGAGACGCGAGCACTATTGGATTGATCGGTTATCGAGTCTTCGTCTTGGGCGATAGCGCGCAAGGATGTAACCGTCTCGCTGACTGCAGGAGGCGCCTCCTCTTCTTCGTGCAAGATCGACATTCTAGAATTTTCGAAAGCTTCGGCTGCAGGTTTAAAGGACGGTGTATCTATGTGTTCTGTAGTGACAGCATTACCAGGTGCAGTTTCGGCTACATCCACGTACTCGGCCGATTCATCATCCTCATACATAGTCTCGAGTTGTTTTCTCTCCGATACGGTGGGTGACGGGTGGTCTGTTGGCGACTCTGGCTTCTCCTCGGCGGATTCGGGTTGGGGTGGGTCATTAGGTAGAGACCTCGTACGAAAATGACGGATTGATTTGCCAGGTTCAATAGCTGACGCACCCACTGGCGAGTTTTTTGTTGAACCTAAGGATTTTGGCACAAGCGAGGGCGATGAAAATACCATCAGACTGCGGGGTCGCACCTTGTGGGCAACAACAGCCTCCATGGTCTGTATCTCTCCATCTAGATCGCCAATGTATCCCGGGACCTCGATCTCTTGAACGTCGTAATCGCCCATTGGCAAGGGGACGGTGGCGGGGTCCAAAGGTGGCGGAATCACCACAGGGAGAGGCTCATTTGGAGTCACTGGTTCCTCAATGGTCACAATGCTACTCTTCCGGCTGTTTGCCAGGGAGTACCCACGTGGACGGAATGATTCACGAGAGAGTGTTCGAGAAAGACTGGTTCCGCGTCTGCGCTGCCTCCACGTGCGCCACAGGCGACCCAGGGTTGCATTAAGGGCCAACTTCTCCATATCGAGATCTTCCACTACAAGTCGGTCGATTCTTTTCCGCTCTCCAGATCCACTAAACTCATTACCATTGTTGAGCTGTGCCGACAGACGAGACCGCGATGTCTCGCCAGCGATAACGAGCGCACTCTCGCCAATATATTCGATGATTGAGGTAAGGAATATAGAAGCTGCAGGTGTAATATTGTCGACATGACTAGTAAATCTGCGTGGTGCTCCATCGGTCTCTCCGAGGCTCTCTTGCGCGATGAATTCGTCTTCGTCATCTTCTTCCATATCGCCCAGTCGTGTGTAGACCATGCATCGTAGCCGTGTTAACTTCCATGAGCGTACTAGGTCAAAATCGCCGCTGGGCTGATGGCCGCCGCGGAATCTCGTGGGCTCATCGTCGGCTCCGCCCATGTATTCGCTCAACTCTTCTTCGGCTGATGCCACAACTTCCTTGGCCAAGCGGGGCTTCAACACATCAGCCATGGCGGATCGAATGCCTGCGAGCTGAGTTGATCTTGACGAAGCGAGAATATTAAACAATAGGTTATCGAGGAATCCGTTCAGGAGCGCTAACGCCGCCGGGGTCACCAGCGCCGTGGCGCTAGCCCCGGTTTCCTCATCCTCAGCGACAAAATCGGCAGTGTTGAACTCCTGGTCGGCAGAGATAATCTTCGAAGCCGCAGATGGCGAGATGAACGCTGGGGACGGCGTCACGGACGGTGGGGACATGAGATTGACTCGAGAGAACTGCGAATCACTAGACACAACGCTGGGGCTGCGTGAACGGGATATGGCCCCAGTATCCAGGAATTCGGGTTCTTTGGTGGATTGCATTGTGTATCCTAGGTATCTTTTGGTCAAGGGCTCGAGGACGAGAGCGTAATTTGCCTCTTTTGTCGGTGTTCCTTCGCAGACCTCGATATGGACTGAAGGCGCTAGGTAGAAATCAAAACTTCATAATCATGCTGTACTCCTAGGAACGTCAGTCTGACACGATTATGTGGGTGAAATCTGACTTGAGTGAAACTGGGGGGCCTTGTACGACTGCATGCGCAACCTCGCCCCGACGGACCCGTGACAATTGAAGGGTGGATTTCCAACTTACCCGTTTGAATCAGCGATGCGATCAATGCTCATACCGCTTTAGCCTAGGGAAATTAGAAGGAAGCAAAAAAAAAGAGAGAGAATTACTCGCAAAGGCCAGGAGTGACTCAGGAGTAATTATTCCATCCGAGTCAAGTGGGGACTTGGGAACATTCGGGGTCGACTACCGAATAATTTATGGAGCATCTGCAATTGTATACAAATCTTACAATCTTACCTGATGACACTTTTCTTTTGGGGTCGCATGGTAAAGATCCCTGTCCCTCAGTTAGGCTAGTTCTTTATTTTGGAACACCATTTCCTATTCACATCTATGTTCAGAGTACTACTCCGTAGATTGCCGGTAGTTGCAGGCAGTTTTACTAATGTGTCTCTTTTTGAAGAGCTATTCAAAGACGCTAGCCCCCCTTCTTGGGACCAGAAAGAAAAACAGATAGCCCACCGCCATCGCGCCCCAGAGAAGGAAAAAAACATTGTTCCAGAGATCGGCACGCTAAAGTGCCCCGCTCGTACCTCGTTTCAGGTCTCATTGGCCGTGAGCAGCCAATCATTGAGTGACGTTCCATGGATTCAGGCGAGGCACTCAGTTAGCCTTTAGCGCCATTCCATTTTGGTACAGTTATTGAATTTTTTATTTTTTCTTTCTCAATTTTCTCCTCAAAAGAAGTTTATCCAGGTGCATGCAGGGTAAATGGGCTTCCAAGATGTGTCTCGGGAATGATTTGTAATTATATTGTCGAAAAGAAGAATATGGAGTATATGTATCTCATTTAAGTCTGACCCGCTCATACTACGGGGCACATTCAGTAGTGTAGCTCTTAGCGCATAATATCCTTTTTCCACACGTTCCTCGGCCGTTCCACAGGTCCCAGGGGCACACGAGGATAAGCCTGTGGCGTAGAAACGCCATGTTAGGTCCCCATTTTCGAGTTTCTACTCCGTAGAAACTTCATGTATACGGAGTAGTACTCCATACATGCAAATTGCACAATTTGAAACCTTGAAACTATTAACACCTGAGACAATTATCCTAAACGATATCAATTTCCCCAATCAGCATCTGCTTAGGAGTGGCCCCCTATGTGACGTGCACCATACCTGATCTGAATTGTCCGCCAACTCTGGGTCCTCCAATCATTTCGTTTGCCGAGCTCCCACCCATGGAAGGTTACCAGATTCATTTTTTCGACAAATTCCCAAGGTCTTACCAATGTAACTAGGTAAGCGAATGAGATCGCTATCTCATATTATTTAGTATGTTAAAGCTGAAAACTGATAATACGGAATATGGAATGTGCGGAGCACTTCGTACCCACCTGAGCATACAACATTATAGATAACAGACTTCGGGTCAGGTGGGCCCGTGTGGTAAAAATACATGCAACATAGGGTTGTAGCGACTATTGCCATCTGCTACAGTGTAAAGCATGCACTAGCAGTAACTAACGATCACAAAGGACATTGTCGTCAGATACTTGGAATCATGCAAGACTATCAGGAGGTTCCTACAGAGTTCCCGGAAAAAGCACTGACTAAAGACACAGCGTACAATTTATTATTGCACCTTGCAGGGCTGCTCTGTAGATCTAGTGATATATCGGATCCCATCCATATGCGTATTCCCTGATCTGTCCTATCCCTCAGCCCTAGAAACAGCTTACTACGCATAGCAGCAATATCCTAGAATCTTGTCCCAGTACCAGCTTGTTAGAGATACTAGAGATCTACGATGAATGTAGATTTAACTGGAAATCTCTTGATGCGTTGAGAGAGAGAGAAACTATCTACATGCTATGACTGAGACTAAGTACTGGGAGCAAACAGTGGGTGGTCACGTGACCTTCCAACACAGCTTAAGTCTCACGCAAGAGTCACCCGTATCGCACACCGATACACTACCCGTTGTAACCAGCGTTTGAATTTCGTCATTCTCACTGATTCCTCAAATGAGCCTCCACCGACGGCTGTATCCGCATTCCCATCCCCGATACCCGCACCCGCACCCTAACACGCGTGGCTGCAACTACAAGTCGTCATCGCTAAAAGAAGAAGCTTGGTCCGCTGGCCCTAGGACTCGCAATTGTGTTTTGTATCCTACGCCCAATGTACCCCGTACGGAAAGAGAGACGCTCCTATCCGTTCCCTGGCTGTCAAATCCTTCACAACAATCTTTCTTGACTCCACTCTTTGCTGCAGAACGTCTTCTGAATGAGGGAAAGTTGTATCATCAATGATCGACAGCGAGTACCAAGGAATAGAAAACTGATAGAGAATAGAGAAATCAAATGCCTGTTTCGGCCAGGTTATATATATTCACCGCATCGATGCAAAGGTCTAAACGCAACCCCCCTACGCCGTGCGCTGCCAAACCTAAGTCTACATTTTACCTTTCCAAGGATTTCCCCGTGCTGTGTATGCTCTATGTTGAATGTCGTTGTGATCGACTGGTTGATTAAAAACGGGGAATCGACAGTTCAACCTTACATATCAACGAGTCATATTTATGTCATACGTTATGCCGTTGCGGTCACTAGCGATTTAATTAAAAACGGCGAGTCGATAGTTTGTCTTTGGATATGCACGAGTCATGTTTATATGATATGTCACTCCGAGACAGTGACTTTTTTTTTTTGAAAGCACAGGTGCATGTGCTATAGTGGATACATCCAAGTGTAGGTACAGAGTACTCCGTACGGAGCACACATCTTCAAGTTTATTTCTTTCTGTTGGATTACTGTCATCGTACCGCCGGTAGGAGTCACAATATGATGGCTCGGCATGCCAAACCCCGAAACCCCGAGGTGATCTTCACTGCATGAAGATATATGTCATCCTCGACACAGCACTATATTCCTACTCTCTACTCCAGAAGTACAACAACACGTTTACTCCGTACATGGATAGAGCTCGTAACCAGTGGAGCTTGGCCTCACCCAATGCAAGATTTCTTGCCTCCCCCATAATCCAAAATCCATTTACCAAAGTATCAGCGCCAAGCTACAATTTCACCCCTGCAAGTGAAACTACGGACAATCCCCGCTGACCTCAATGGAGTCTAGTTAAGTGGATAATTACCCGCTGCAGGAAGTCCCACACCATGAAAAATGGAGAACAAAACCCCTCAAAAAGAAGGAAAGCCTCCTACAGGATGGTGTGCCTAGCAGCAATCGACCTTGTTAAGCTGAATCCATCGACTGGTATCCATAGCACTACTTCTCCACGGAGTATGATCACTACTACTAGCACCACTTCACTGGCACACCCCTCGTTTAAAACTACGTTAGCCCATCCCTAACCTACAAGGAAGAAAACGAAAAATTGCCTAGGCCGGAAAGTCCACTAGTGTCTAGGCCAGTTGCTAGCTGGGACATGAGAGATGAAGGGGCTTATCTGGCGTGTCAGGCGTATTGGAGAAGTGTCATTCTGGAAGGAAAATGGCGTGGTACAACCCCTGTGTTGTTGCGCCCCAATCAGCAATGATTTACACGCAATTTATGTTAAATTGCGTTCCTTAGGTATGGCGTTCCTACACAAAAGGCACAAGAAATCCAAACCAACCCTGTGCCCAGAACTACGTGTCTATACATCTCATCTAAGAGGACTTGAGTGAGTGTGGTAGTGTTTTGATGTGCTTCTCACACTTTTGCATTGATTTTTCAATATTCATGAGATCAGTCCTAGAACAATCTACTCCTTAACCACAGTATAATTGTAGATTGGTGTACTCCGTAGTTTGTATCTCCTTCACCTAGTTGGAGGGCTGAGAAAACTTGATGTTTAGGCTTTTGGTGCCCTTTGTACTTTTTGTGTGGCATGCCCATACAAAAGGTACCTGATTTTGAGGTTCCGAAACATCCGACTCGAAGCTGGTAGTTCGGTCTGGTCATACGATATATTTCCTCCACGAGAGTTCTGCGAATATCTTCCTATGTTATTTGTTGTACATCATAACTAAGCACTGAGTCCGGAGCACAATGTAAGTTTATAAGAACCAACAAGCATCTGCGTGGGACTCTGAATGGCTCGTGGGGGGTTGAGCAGTCGTTACATGGCCTGATGTACGGAGTAGTACCGAAGGGAAGCTATTTCGAATGAAGAGTGGCCTGTTTCCGTCCAACAAATTCGCCTTGTCTGGGATCCAGGCAATAGGTGGGGGTTAGGACTGAAAGGGGGTGAAGTAGAGTGGCTAGTCGGGTACGCAAGGCCGGAGTCATGCAAGACTACTACGATGGCAGGAAAAAGGCAGGAAAAACAGGCTAAGCTACATCTTAAAACTTCAATTCGAGAACGTCTGAAGTTTTAAAACTGATTTAAATTTCAAGTGCTGGTTTTGGTCAGAAAAATCAGAAAAAATACATGACCACTGTCAAATCCTAGTCCGAGAGCAACTTGTGAGAAATCCGAATGCTTTTCCTGGCTGAATAGGCGTCCCGTTGCGTGCCCCTCGCCGAACAGTTGGCGAATCTGAAAGTAAAAGGGTTGTCATAATCGTAAAGTCGTGTTACTGGTTTGCCGATGTGCAAGCAGATCTTAGACCTGTGCAGGCAAGAGTTTGGTCCCGAGGTCGTGCGCAATGCCGCCAGCGAAGAAGCTCAGCTCATCAGGACCAATGTCGACACGCCCACTCGCCAATCTGTCAAGCAGGAATTTCTCAATTTTGTTCAAGAGGGCTTGGTGGTGATCCAGGTCTAGGATCGAGCAGCCGGAATCGGGTTGGTTGCCTATTTGCTCTTCTGCGCGGAGTCTGATCAACTCGTTGAGCTCATCTTCAGCAAGGAGGTTACAGAAGGTGCCTGTGACATGGTTGGAGACTAGGTCAAGGTACAATGAAGGTGCACCCTCCGGTTCCACGAATTCGGTGTCTTTGCCCAAGCGAATGTGGTCAACCTGAACTCTAAGGTACGTCTCGTACTTCGAGGCGGCAATCCCGTGGATTCCATTCATGTAAGCGACAAAAAGGTTGCAGTCCAAGTCCACGGCATCACGCGAAAACTCCTCTGGGTGACAGTCATCATTTTTGTCGGACTCAGCGATGTCCATTTGGTCGAGTTGATCCAGAAGTGTTTGGGTACCTTTGGAGTCCCGAGCAAGCATCATCATTTCATGGCAGGTCATTTGGTGATCAGGAGCTTCGTCATCTGATAATTCTACGTTGTCAATGTATTCTACCTGCGGGTCAAAGCGCACGGAATTCTCCTCAAAGGAGATGAAGGCATCGTCAAACAAATCTGTGTGATCCTCGTGCGTCTGAGGGATGTCTCCATGTGTTTCATCCCAGACTGAGAAGTCCGAATCATCACCATCATCTTCGCCAGATTCATAGGAGAGCGCATCATACTCAAAATCAATTCCATCCGAGCTATAGCCTGATTCCGAACCGGACTCCTCATCAGTGTCAAGTGAAATGGTCGAGTTTTTGAGTATCGATTTCAAGAAAGGACGCAAAGTTGGTTTGGTGGTGGAAGTCGATCCACCTGACTGAGCTGGAGTGCAACCATTCGATGTGACCGAGATTTCATCTGAGCCATAGCAGCTGTCGTGGGAGAAAGACATCTCGAGGTTGGAGAAGGTAGACGATACAGAGCCCCACGAGCCTCGATGGAAGGTCAAATTGCTCATTTGTTCGGTGATTGGGTTGTCCATGTTTCAGCGGGACAGTTTCTTTTGTGTAATTTGTCAAACTGCCTAAGATATCGAGACTTAAGAGGGCTATGGGCTCGTAGCCGAGCACTCTTAGGCAGGTGAGAGAGGGTTCGTGGAAGAACAAATTTTGAAAAAGGTGCGATCAGTAGGTCGAGAGTGAATCAAGAGAATAGCAAGGGCATCGAAAGCCTGCAAAGCATGGTGGAAAGTGCATAGTGAAGGCACACGGGAATCGTGTAAAAGTTTAAGGAAACTTGTCCCCAGCACAACTGTTGGAAGACATAATTTCCGATGAACGCTCTGTGATGGGATCTAGAAGGGTGCTTTCTTGCCAGTTTGGTGTGCGAAACAAGACGGTCGAGACTGGTTGCTGTGGTAATTCGAAATAGATTGATGCCGGGATAGGTTGATTTCGGTAACAGATAAAGCAGAGGCCACAGGTTTTGTCGAGATACATGTAGGGAACAAGAGGGTGGCAAGGAGAGATGTTGTGGAATTCGCGTGACGCAACGAAAGCGGCGGTGGAATGTCGCGAGAGCAGTTATGGGTCGCAACAGGTATCGCGAAAAAAGGCGCAGAGGCAAGATACGACAAAAGAACAGTGGAGATGAAAGTAAAGAAGAGAAGAGTGGCCCACGTTTCGCGGGGTGTGACGGAGGGGCAAAATCCGGATTGAGTCACGTCGACTTAAGAGTAAAGGCAACGATACAAAGCGCGGATGAAATTAAGAGGGGAGAGAAGCGTAACTGCAGATGAGCAGTGACAGTAATAGAGAGTTAAGAATCCAAGGACACAGGTTGAAGTGACCTGGAGAGAAGAGGAAGAGAGAGAGAGTCCCTTCCGAGAAGGGTCGCCCCAATTTCTCGTCATCTGACTCAGCCCGAACTTGACCTTTTTCGGATTTTTTGCCCATTGGGCTTTTACAAGGGTTCTTTATCACAATGCAGTCATCTACACTAGTTTCTAGACCATTCGAACAATAATTCCAATTGTTCCATTGTTTTGAATCCCTAGTGATCTATCTGTATGATCAAGCACGGAATACGGAGTATGCAATGTCAGCCTTTGAGAATAGCCTCGGGAGCACCGGAGCACCGAGAACAGAGGACTTCTCGGCTAGAAGTTGCTTTTTTTTACTGTCACAATCAGATTTTTTTTTCCATCGCTATCCTATCTTCTAGGGCTATGCTATTGAATGACTGCACAACTTCTAGGGGTATCTATCACTTATTTTCAAAACCTTGCTGATTACATACACCTTAAATCAAATATTGGTGGACGGCGCCACCCGTTGTTGCCGCATCACTAACACTCTTCTAGTGCCACTTTTTGTTTCTGCCCCCCTTTTCAAATTTCGTTTATGCCCAGCAGTCTGGCTTTATTCTGCACTAGCGCTATAATGCTTCGTTTGAAGAAAAAGTCACATCTACCTGGTGGGTTGAAAGTCTATCAGGCTGACTTGAAGCACATTGAATTTAACCAAATCTTGGTTTCAAAGTGACCAGATGACCTTCACCCCCGACTAGCAGTCCTGCAGTCTCCGGCCCCCGAGTTCGTATGAATCAAATCATTCGTTATTTGAGCAGAGGTCGCTTTGTTTGATGCCTTGCCTCAACCCAAAACTGAATAGGATGACAAAGGAAGCAACACATGCCACTGACGTATAACAAACCACTTAGCGGATACCAAAATCATAATTGGCTGAAGACATCATTAAAGATACAAGAAGCACCTACAAGCACCGCCGCCATTGAGTGAAGGGACACTGCACTTTGGCAACTAAAATGGCATTTGGATTGTTTCAAAAGGGAGAGGAGGCACACGATCCTTATCTCGTGCTGTAGAACAGGCTTGTTCTTTACTGCATTCAAACATGCCTTTACCTTGATCAACTTCATGCAGTCCAAATTTAGATTATGGGTCGAAGCAAACACTCCCAAATAAGGGCTCCGGACAGCGATCTCCTGCAGGTCGAGGTTTTCTAAACCACTGAACAGGGCACACACACACACACCAGGGCTTCCCAGGAAAATCTGTCCTTCTCGAATATTTAGAGCTCTTCTGTGCATTGTTCAGAGGTGACATTCCGCCCAGCCTCTTCGTTTCAACCCACATTCCGGATCGTCTATCATCAACAGGGCATTGGCCAATCGACAACATCCCCCCTTCCAATTAGATATGAATCGGCTAATCATGATGAAGCAAATGAAAGAAGTATGTAGCCAGGGTATGCGGTCGATCATACTGTTACCCAAGTCAAGTCTTCTTCGGGAGGTTAATGATGATGGGATAGCAGGTATCATGACGCTTACACTGCAAGCACCAACCTTGGAACTCGTTAGGTGATCGTTCTTCTGTCCCAGTTGTATGGCTGGCCCTGATTCCTTGGCCCATACTGAACGGCTCGGAGAGCGTTCCGGTCCATTTCCTTTCCTAATGGCCGTGCTGTTACAAGGTATGCCGATATCCAATTAGAGGTATCGGGCCAACATGCCTAAGTCCTTCTCAGGCCCGCTTCACCTGCTCATTTGATGATGGTTCCACTGCTTCTGGCTTAGTGAAGGAGGGTTGCATTTCCGTGGGTGGCTATCCGGAGCGAAACCTCTTCGGGGGTTGAGAAAGATTGACAGCTTGCCCAGCCATTGATATTTCCGCGACTGGGATTGGCTTAGAGAATCTTGAATATTCTTCCGGTAGGTTGGTGGGGTCGGCCAGGAGCCAACTGGGCCCTCTATAGCACATTCCTGGTCCATCTTTAGAGCACTTGGAATGTGTCCAGAAATTCCGAGGCTGGTGGCCGTGGCAGCCATTCAAATAGGGCCTGCATCTGTTTGTTTGCTTTGCTTTCTTTGCATCATCTGCAGTGTTTTCTTTGATTGACAATCTATCAAACATTCAGACACCTCACTTTCTTTATTTGCATCCTTTGCACTTCTCGGATATTCGGGTCGATCCCCCCGAACTATTCCCAAACCCCCCAAAGCTTTATTTCAAGACCATATCTGGTTGTCCAATCACATCCAAGTCTTTGGATACTCAGTTGCTGACTACAAAATCGCCCCGTACTTTTGCTTTGTCGCCGCAAACGGAAATCCGACAAGATGTTCGCCCAACCATACGACCATTCGTTCAATGACTTGTTCAACCAATACGTCAACATGGAGACCAGTGCCGCTGATGGAAAAGATTCGACCTTGTCCGATTTTGATCAGCTTTTCCCGCTTGACTCGCTATCGAGTGACTGTGGCGATCTTCCACCCACTGTCTCCACTCCCAATTGCCATCAATCACCGCAACCTTGGAGTAATGAGTGGTCCCTGCAGAATGACGGGCCCGCTGTCGATCATTTTGCTTTCCATGACACCGTCCCCCTCTCTGCAATCTCAGATGTCAATCTGAACAATTTCGAAGTTCTCTCTCGCCCTACAGCAACCCACGCCCTGTCTACCTCACCCTCCACCCCTCCCGCAACCCCTAGACGGAAGCCTACCCAGAGTGCTCTCATCACTCCCAAGTCTATCCGCCATCGCTGCCCGAATGAGCGCCGCTCTCATTTGTGTAAGCAAAGTTTCTCACCCAGCTTAATGCGCTCTTCCAACCTCTCCAAAGCAAGAATGGCGTATCCCGAGGCTTGGGCCCAGCAAATCCAGAGCTTTAGTCTTCAAAGTTCCGAAGATCGTTTGCCGCTTTCGCCTCCTCCATCCGATGTCCTCATTCAGCATGAAAACAGGCCTGCCGAACAAATCATGCATCAAACTAGAGACTCAGTAGAGATGCCTTCTCAGTACGACGCAAGACTCTATCACCAGCCTCCCTCGGTTTCAATGCCATCGCCGAATATCGCAATGTCAGCACGGCAGCCACAGCACTACATTGCTCACCCAAGCTCTTCCACCTTGACCAACTCTAGCCCTTCTTCCGCAGATGATATGTTCTCCTCGTCTCACTCATCTGACCCCCACTCTCTCTCCTCTTGGCAGTCCGATCATCTTCATCCCCCTTCTTTCTCTTTCACTCCAGACCTCCAATGCCAAGATTCTCAATGGTGGTCCCCCATGACTTCTCGGGTCGCTCAACAACAGGCCTCTTACCTCACGTCTCCCACGCCTGTTCGCACCATGCAAAGCGTTGGAAGCCAAAATGACATTATGCAAGGAGGACTGATGATTCAATTCAATCCCTCCTATGACATGCCAGCGGATCACTCATTCTCATCCAACAACATGCTCCCCGTCGCCCCTCAAAAATTCGACACCTCCTTCACTACCTCTCAAGTCCATAACGTCTCCCGTTCACCATCTCTCTCCCCTAAGGCCGGTACATCACCCAGGGATACCCACAATGGGTCCATTTCCAAGCCCGTCCATCGCCGCACACACAGCCGCAAGCTCTCCGGCCAGAGCATGAATGCCCCCAAGCCTGCCAAGGCATCTGGCTCCTCGTCCCGAGGCTCAAACAAGTCTGTCAGTGTATCGTTCGTCAACTTTACCGCTCACGACAGCAAGAAGATCCTGACCGGAGTTGCTCCATCCGGCAGCTCTAAGACCAAGGCTCGCCGTGAGCAAGAAGCCCGCGATAGACGTCGCAAGTTGAGCGAAGCCGCATTGAGGGCTGTGCGCAGCGCTGGAGGCGACGTCGAAGCTCTCGAAGCTGTTCTCTGCTAAACAAGCTTGTTTTTTTTTATTTTTGATTCGATCCTCCATTTTTTTTTAAATTTTCGCTTTCTTGTCTCTGTTTCTTTCAGCCGGTGTTTCAAGGTTATATCATAGGGAATATCTGGTTTGCTTTTGGAGTTCACGGTTTTGCTTTCAAGCTTGGGCC